ACCTCTTACCGGGCACTATGCCTCCTAGGGGAAAGGTCTACCCTCTTTCTGAAAAAGAGAACCAGATCATGGAGGAGTACATACAGGAATCCCTAAGAAAAGGTTTTATTAGAAGGTCCTCCTCTCCTGCTGGTGCTGGTTTCTTTTTTGTGGCTAAGAAGGAGGGCGATTTGAGGCCATGTATAGACTACAGGGGTCTGAACAATATAACGGTTAAAAACGCCTACCCTATCCCCCTCATCACTGAGTTGTTTGATCGTGTTAAAGGTTCTAAATTCTTCACCAAATTAGACCTCAGGGGGGCTTATAACCTTGTCCGTATAAAGGAGAATGACGAGTGGAAGACAGCGTTCAACACACGCAGTGGGCATTACGAATATCTGGTCATGCCTTTTGGATTGTGTAATGCTCCTGCCGTGTTTCAGGACCTCATAAATGATGTCCTTAGGGATCTATTGCATGTCTGTGCTGTAGTGTACCTTGACGACATACTTGTGTATTCTCCTGATTTGAAGTCACACCATAACCATGTTAGGATGGTGCTCAAAAGGCTATTGCAGAGCGGACTCTACTGTAAGTTAGAAAAATGTTTATTCGATCAGACCTCTGTGCAATTCCTAGGATATATCATTACTGAACAGGGTTTCAGTATGGATCCTGCTAAATTGGAAGCTATAATGTCCTGGCCACTTCCCCAAGGACTAAAGGCTATCCAGCGTTTTATAGGATTTGCCAACTATTATAGGAAATTTATAAAAAACTTTTCACCACTCATATCTCCCATAACGAAGTTGACAAAAAAAGGTCTACACCCTAGGGTTTGGACTCCTGAAGCCCTTAAGGCCTTCGAAACCCTCAAGAAGGCATTTGCCTCTGCTCCAGTGCTGCACCACCCTGATCCTTCTCTTCCCTTTGTTATGGAAGTAGACGCCTCGGAGTCAGGTGTGGGAGCCTACTGTCACAGAGGTTGTCTTATGACAAACCCCTCCATCCCTGTTGTTATTTTTCTAAAAGGTTGTCTGATTCAGAGAAGAATTACGATGTTGGGAACAGGGAACTATTAGCTATTGTGTTAGCTTTCAAGGAATGGAGGTACTTATTAGAGGGTTCTAGACACAAAATTATGGTTATAACAGATCATAAGAATCTATCCTATATTGCTGATGCTAGAAGGTTATCTGCCCGGCAGGCTAGATGGTCTCTATTTCTCTCACGCTTCCAATATGTTATCACCTATAGACCTGGTTGCCGTAATGCCAAAGCTGACGCTATCTCTCGGCAGCATGAACCAGTAGAATTTGTTAACCCGACTCCTGAACCTATTGTACCTGCGTCTCAGATAATAGCTGCTACCCGTTTGGTTGTTTCTTCACCTTTCCTTAATAGTATTAAGACATACCAAACCCAGGCACCCCCTGAGACGCCGGTTGGTAAACTATACGTTGAAGCTAATGACAGAAAAAAGTTGTTAACTTTATTTCACACAGCCAAAACTGCTGGTCATCCGGGGGTTACCAAAACCTACAAGGGCCTCCTTCAACAGTTCTGGTGGCCTTCACTCAAGCGAGACGTAGTGGATTTTGTTCAGGCTTGTCAGGTCTGCACGCAATGTAAGTCCCTTAATGTGAGACCCCAGGGTTTTCTGATGCCTCTATCTATACCCAAGAAACCATGGACCCACTTATCCATGGATTTCATTGTAGACCTGCCTCTTTCTGATGGTCAGACGGTGATACTGACTGTGACGGATAGGTTCTCTAAAATGGCGCACTTCATTCCGCTTAAGAAACTGCCTTCTGCGGTTCAGTTAGCTCAGGTATTTGCCAAAGAAGTGTTCCGATTGCATGGGGTACCCCAGGATATCGTATCTGACAGGGGCCCTCAATTTGTCTCTCGGTTCTGGAGGGGCTTTTGTGCTGAGATGGGGGTCTCCTTGTCGTTCTCTTCCTCCTATCACCCGCAATCTAATGGTGCGGCCGAACGTGCTAATCAGTCTGTGGAATTGTATTTGCGCTGCTTCACTAATGCGCACCAGGATGACTGGTCTCGCCTTCTTCCGTGGGCTGAATTTGCCAGGAATACGGTGTCTCATTCGTCTACTGGCTTAAGTCCTTTTGAGGTTGCTTATGGGTTTCGTCCTTCTGTCCTTCCCGGTGCGTTCTCCGACAAGGGAATGCCCGCCTTGGACCAGCACCTCGCCTCTTTGCGGAAGACGTGGGATCAGGTCCATGTTGCGCTGTCTCGTTCAGCAGCTGCTCAGAAAAAGTTTGCTGATCGCCGTAGGGTTGCGGCCCCTTCTTATCTTCCGGGTGATAGGGTATGGTTGTCCTCCCGGAACCTCCGTCTCAAGGTTCCCTCGATGAAATTTGCCCCCAGGTTTCTTGGTCCCTTCAAGGTGTTACGTAGGGTTAACCCCGTTTCCTACTCCCTTGATCTGCCTCCTTCCATGCGTGTCCCGAACACGTTTCACGTCTCGCTTTTGAAGCCCTTGCTGTGTAACCGGTTCTCTCGTCCCCTCGGGCGGCCCGTTTCCCCTCGAGCTGTCTCTGACGACGTGTACGAGGTGGCTGCCCTTCTCGACTCTCGTGTTTCTAGGGGTCGGCTGCAATATTTGGTGGACTGGAAGGGGTACGGCCCTGAGGAGCGGTCCTGGGTTTCAAGCTCCGATGTGCACGCTCCCTCTTTGGTCCGCTCCTTTCATGCCCGCTTTCCTTTGAAGCCTTCCGCTTCCCGCCCCCTGGGCGGTCTTCGAGGGGGGGGTAATGTCAGGCTCCCGCGGGCGGCTGCGAGGGGAGGCTGCACTCCGCTCGCAGTACTCACCCTCCAGCCGTTCGCGGTCCCCTCCGCCTCGTGACGCTGCACGCTGGGAGACCGCCCAGGTTTATACACGCCGGGGTCAGTCACCTGACCCGGCGTTAAAGGCACAGTGCCTCAATCACAGTGGGAGGTCTAAATATCTCCCACGTGTGATTGTTAGTTCTGATTGGAAATTATCCAATCAGAATTAACCTGATGGTTTAAATACTTACCTTTCCTGTTCCTCCCTGCCCTGTTGTGGTCTTTGCTTGCTAGTATTGCTACTTACCTTGTGCTTCTGGTTACGTACTCTCTGGCTTGTTTATCTGACTCTGTGACTTTCTCCTACCCTTTGACCTCGGCTCGTTTCACGTTATTCTGTCTTCTGGTTCCCCTTTACTCGGCTTGTCTCCTGACTATTCTGTGTGTGCTTAGCCCGACCACTCTAAGCTCCGGTACGGCACCTTTTGTGTGTGTGTGTGTGTGCCAGCGTGTTGGGTTCCCCGAATCGTGACAGATTCAATCTACCGAACAACCGCACGAATGACTAGACCACCTGGGAGCTGGAGTGTGCCGGCAATTAGCCTCCCAGAAGCTGCGGTTAACCGCAGCTTAATTGACAATTACTGGGTGGTCTCCATTCGTATACCGAAAACGAGGTCGCGGCCATTTTAAACATGCGAACGCACAGCGGTGTTCGACGCCTAACTCATGGAACTAAAAACGGACACAGTTTGGCTCGAACACCGCTGAAGCCAACGACCTCCCTTCTTGTTCGGCGGGAGTGCACGAACGGCCCGGTGTTCGGTAGTTTTACCTGACTGTATTATAACCCAGATAGGAATCCCATGGAGCTCATTCGTATGAGAACTAACTTTGTAAAGACTTTGGCTCCATGGCAATTGAACTGTATTCGTGTGGTCTGAGCGCCATTCGCTTAATAATGTGCGCTCAGACCTGAGCTATCTAGGGACATGTTAAATGTATAGTTTTATTGTAACGTGTGTCACATATTGTATTTTAACAGTAATTCATGTTTTTTATCCCCACGTGCATAATGGCGATTTGCCTTTGTTCTGGGAGATAATTGAATTATCTCCAGGGCAGAGGGGAGGAAGCCAGGATGCATTGTGGGAATACAATGTGATTGTATGTCCTATTTTGCTGATTGTCTGTCTTTTGTCACAGTCTCCCATTTGGTCCCCTAGGGGAGTGTCCACCAGGTGGGAGACCTGCATAAATACTGGGCAGGTAGCCCTCAGTAAACAGATCACTGCTTGACCCTCAACACAGAGCCTTGTCTCGTCTTTGGGGGGATTTACTGAATGCTGATAGAGACTGATTGCTAGGAGTGTAAGCCGCTTGGATGCTTTTCCTATTCGTCTGCTAGCAGCGATTCGTATGGTTCCAGTTCATGAGTTTGGAGTGTTACATTGTATGCCGTTCGGGAGTTTGGAGTATTCCCTTATTTGCGGTTCGGGAGTTTGGTTTTCTACAGTAGCTGTGCCTGCATCTCTGGAAGGGGAAGATCTCCTAAACGGGGGTTTAACCCTTTTATGCTGAGGGTGCTGTTACATAAATAAATACTGCAATTCATAAATAGTTTAGCACTTACTTAGAAGCAGTTACAGGGGGCCAGGATACACATTGGGAAACACAGCAAAGTACTGAAGATGGCCTCCTGATTAGGGGGTTGTCACACTTTGTAGCTGCTAGTGAAGAATTGACTGACCACATGAAAAGAAAGTATTATTTGGAGAATGACAAATCTTACAGTGAGAGTGCTTGGTACCACCATCTTGTTTGGGTTGTTTTTACAGGATCATACAAGGAAAAAACTGAAGCTGCTTTTACCTTGTCTTCATTAAAGGAACACTACAGGCACAATCACCACTACAGCTTACTGGAGAGCAAGTAGATCCTAAGCAGGAACTTCAGATAGCTCTCCAGAGTGAAGTCCTTCACTACAGGGCTTCGTTCAAGAGCAATTAGTTGATGGCCTGCTTAGGAACTTTCGGCTCTCTGGTGATAGTAGTAGTGCCAGGTAAGAAGTAAAACCATTTCTGAATGGGGGACCAGCGTACTTCTGGCACCATAACCATGAGTGTATTGGAGCGTTTCTTTAGCAGACTTTATCTTTTAAAAGGAGATAACATAGTTTGAAATGTATATAAAAAAAACACTAACTAAAACCACTTCATAGTGTGACATTTAATATTTTTCTGTAGGAGGAGCCATCAGAACAGGAAAAGATTAACTTTATTTGCAATAGCAGACTTTATGTATATATGATTACATAGTGTGACATTTAATATTTTTCTGTAGGAAGATCCGTCAGAACAGGAAAAGATTAACTTTATTTGCAATAGCAGACTTTATGTATATATGATTCCAGAAACAGAGATTTGTGCAGATTTGATTATTCACCACGGAATTGTATTTCCTTTCCAATCCAAAAATGATCCACTTTGTTTTTCCGTGAGTTTTTCAAATACTCCCATTATGCCAGTAACACACTCCTGCTCTGTTACTGGAGCCTAAAAAACAAGCAGTGTATTATTTATAGTTATTCTATTTACAATTTGATCAATCTCATATAAAATTAAACTACCCAGCAATTTATAGAGCATTACAATTCTATTCCTTTTAAAGTAGGAATGAAATTGTCACGGCTTCCGACATCTCTGTTGGCGTGGCTGCACTCAAACATAGCAGCCACGCCGTCAAAGATGTTTCAAACTTACCTTGGGCTTGGCTGGCAGCTACCTGGTCTCTTTCTGTTCCGGTCCCCATCGGGCGTGATGTTTTTAGGAACGCCGGCTGCTGCGGATCGGACTTTTATAAGAAACTTACCTTCGCCCTCATGAAAGATGGTGCCAACGTGCGTGCAGCATCACTTCATAGACACACACGCATGTTTTGGGGTCAGAGACAGCCAATTACAGCCTAAGGAGGGTTATTTAAACCCAAATTACCTTTTTGTCAGTGCTCTGCCGTGGTTTCCAATAGCTGGTTATCTGAGAGTGTATTCCTGATTGCGTTTTTCTGGTATTTGACTTTAGCTTCGTTTTGACTTTCCTGATTTCTGGTATCCTTGAATTCTGGCTTTCCTCATCGTTGTGTCTCATTCTGTGTCCCTGACCTCGGAAAGTATTTTGACTATTATGCGGTACGTTAATTCCAGACATTCTAAAGTCCGGTTAGATGTTATCCTTAGTCCTAGGTGTGATACTATTCCGCATGCTGGATCAAATATAATCCTGACAGAAACTGAGCCATTCCTCCAGGTCGTACAGGGCCCCTAGATGTTTCTCCCAAGCAAGCACATAATCTGCTTTTAGGATGGGCCTAGGCATCAAGTAATAATCACGTCGTGTTACAGTGCCACTTATACTAGGATTATATTATATGTTTTTTCCAAACCAGTTTTCTTAAGAGACATACAAAGAGGCTCGGGAAAGGAAGAGACACACAAGGGGGTGGGTTGAATAACACACTAAAAGGGGAATAAAATACACTAAAGGGGCAAAGGAGTAAGACATTCACAAGAGGGCATATGAAACACTAAAAGGGCTAAGAAATTGAAAAGGGGAGGTTACAAGACACACAGGTGAAGAGGCATTTTTTTTTTGGCGGGGGGGGGAAGAAGGGAGAAGGTGCTGTAAATTAATCTTTGCTTGTGTAGCTAAAAATCCTTGCACTGGCCCTGCTGTGGACAAGAACTGTGCAGCGGTATTTATACACACAGAGGGTCATTTGCATACAATGGGTATCTAATGGCACATACATTTCCCCATCAAGTCTTCTTCCCATAATTCCTTGTTTTTCTTGCTGAAAACAAACCTCAGCCCCATCAAACCAAGCAAAGGCTCAGCTCTATTTTGTGCATATAATTCTAACAACCTGAAACAATGAAATCTCCTTTCCACCCAAGCAAGAGGAAGCCCTACCCCACAACCCTGGGTTCACTGGTCTGGAAGTATCCCAGGAACGATGGGACATGTCCCTGTAACAAAATAGTACTCTGGGGACCTACATAAAGTATAGGTCTCCTATCCCCGGTGATGGTGACTATCGTCACACCTCTTTTATAGGGTGTGGCAGCATGCAATCCCTTTCCCTCTCACCACCTTGGATATTGTAGTTGTTGGTTAAATTTTAATGCTACAGCTGCATAGGTAGCATGAAAATATTTAAAGAAATGTGGCATCCCCATACGTCCATGAATTTTAAGATTCTGTAGAACCGAGAATTTAAGTTGACTCATTTTATTACCCCCATATGAATCTAATCAATGCCAAATGCATCTGTTTGGAAAAAAAGTTGTTGTTTTTTGGTTTAGTTAAAGGAATAGCACAGTTTTCCCAACCACGGATTTCTAGGTTACACTTATTATCTAGATCTTTTTGCTTTTTTAAGATTATTGGTATGCATTTTGTTCCAATTCTTACATAGGTTACCAAATAATCAATAAATTAGTCTCTCCAATCAAAGAAAAACTGTCACCTTAAATTATCCAGATCATACCATGGAATGTTTATTGGTAAAGCTTGTGTCTTACCTGGGTTGAGCCTGTAATATGAAATCTCTCCAAATTCTGCTAGTATGCCAAATAATGGGACTATAGATACCTTAGGTTCCATTAGAGATAAAATATCATCGTCTATGAAAAGGTAGATTTTATGCTCTTTATCTTCCACTGAAACTCTTTTGATTTCTGTTGTATTTCTAATGAATGCTGCTAATGATTTACTAAGGCAAAAAAAAGTGTTGACAGTGGGCACCCTTGTCTGGTACCATTTGTCAATGGAAAGACGTAGAGGCACAACCAGTGGCAAATAATTTAGCTGTAGTGTTAAGGTAAAGTGCAAATATTGCATTTATAAAAGAATCCGGTATAAATGTAATCAATATATTAAGGTGTTCTATTTGATTTAATTTGGTGGATTATGTTAATGAACCTTCTGATACCATCTGGGGCTTGTCTTCCTGTAATAAAACTTACCTGGTCTCTATCTATTATTGCAGGGATAATCTGCGCCAACCTATCGGCCAAAATCTTTGCATACAGTTTTACATCTTTTTTTATTAAAGCAATTGGGTAAAAACTTGTACATCTATCCTGAATTTTTGCTCGGTTTCAGCAGGGTTGTAATCTGTGCACACAGTGACTCCCCAGGCATCTTTCCCTCAGACCAGAATGAGTTAAACACTTTTGACATATATGGTAAAAGAATATACCTTACCTATAAAGCTCTAAACAACTCAAGCCCCTGTTACATTTCTCCACTGATTCATAGATATGCCCCTTCTCGGTCTCTCCGCTCCGGCGGTGACCTTCTCCTGTCCGCTGCTCGCAGCCTTACTGCTAAGTTGCACTTGCACGACTTTTCATGGATGGCTCCTTCATTTGGAACATGCTGTCTACCCCCATCAGACTCTCCTCTAGTCTTCAACTGTTTATGAAGTCCCTTAAAACCCATCTGTTCCGAAATGCTTATGGTCTCCCAGTGTAACTTCTATGTCACATATCTGTCTTTTGCTCTCTCCTAAAGAGCCACCCATCCATTCTCACCTTCAGTTCTGCTAGTTTTCCACCTTGTTTGGTTGCTGTCCCTCTTGCTGCCTATTGTGTTTTTATACCCCAACTTCTCTAGACTGTAAGTTTGTTTAGGCAGGGTCCTCATCTACCTATTGTTCCTGTATCATTTTATAAATGTCTCTTTTTTTTGTTAAATTTCCCCCTTTCATAATAGAACTGCTGAATAATTTGGCACTATATAAATACCAATAATAATAATTTGAAAATTGAATTTACTTTTCAATGGCAGAGAATTAAGCAACGAGACTAGAGGGGCATGACATATACACCAAAACCTCTTTACTAAGTTAGTTGTTTTGGTGACTATACTGTCCCTTTAAACACACAAATAGATAAAAATGCTAAATAGATACCTATTGTGTGGTTGTAGGGTCATGTTAATTTGCCTACTCTAATTAGATTGTGGTTTAGAGAATGGTCTGCCCTAGAAGGGATATCTTAGCCTTAAAGGGACTCTCCAGCGCCAGGAAAACAAACTTGTTTTCCTGGCACTGCAGGATTCTGTAGTGCCCCCCTCCCTCCTGCCACTACAGCTACTTACCTGAATCCAAATCCGATGTCCCTCTGCGCTGGGTCATGTTCCGCCAACACTTCTCCCCACCGACGTCAGCCGGCGGGGGAGACCTAATATGCATGCACGGCAACTACCAAGCACACGCATTAACCCCTTAAGGACCAAACTTCTGGAATAAAAGGGAATCATGACATGTCACACATGTCATGTATCCTTAAGGGGTTAAACCTCCACATAGAAAATCATTATTAAATGCCTTCCTATGGGGAAAATCTGACGCTGGAGGTCGTCCAGCATCAGATAATGGACCAAAAGTCTGTTACAAATCTGGAGGCGCCCCCAGTGGCTGTCTGATAGACAGCCACAGAGGGCAGGCTTAGAGCTGTTATGTAAACATTGCAGTTCTCTGGAACTGCAATGTGTTACATTGCAGCACTAAGTGCAACAGGGGCACAGCACCCAGACCACTTCAATTTACTGAAGTGGTCTGGGTACCAGGAGTGTCCCTTAAGCCAACATTTGCAATATCCATTCACGTGTGACCATAACCACATCATATAATAAAGATGGATTTGGAAATATTTAGTTATCTCCTGATAATAAAATTTAAATCAGTTGTAAAACCTAAAATTAAAAAATATAATGCTGATATACTTAATTTACAAAATTCTAAATAAAATATATGTATCACATGGCATCCAATGACTAGGTTGTCAACATGACCAACGTGGTAAATAAGACAGGAAAATTTGCTTATAATACAAACCTCTGGACCTCCCATGTCAGTCTGCACCCAGCCAGGATGAATAACAACACACAGGATTCCATCCTTCTTGTAAGACTCTGATTGGCAGCGAGTCAGCATATTCAAGGCGACCTGTGGATGTCATTATTGAAATGTGAGTGTTTAATGGGGTACACTCTAACTTGGAGGGGGGGGGGGTTCCATGATGCTTTGCCATTCTAAAGACATGCAATGGATCATGGGAGTTGTAGTTCTACAAGATCTTGGGATCTACCTCTTGTGCACCCCTGCTCTAGCTAATGTTGGATTACAGTTGGACATTACTGACCAAGAATTATGGGGATCTGTAGTCCAACAATGAGCTGAAGTGGTCTGGGTGCCAACAGTGTCCCTTTAAGGCTTATGAACATATTTACCTTACTGCATCTATAGTCAATAGCTGGAAACATTGAATACATGTCTGGAACGTTTGTTATAGAGCCAAGCTCGCTGCTTATATTGATCACAGATGCCTTGCTGCAGCTCATCTTCTCATCTGGGCTTTCTTGGACAGCTTTCTTGAGCAAGGGAAGGAATTCCTAACAAGTAAAATGAAGATTTTAGAGTAAAGTGGTTCAAGCCTCCAATGATTTAGGAAAGACATGAAACTGTAATTATACATTATACAGGATAATTGAAATCCCTTGCGTTCTATTATACAATATGTCAGATATAATAGTGGTTGGATCACTGGATTATTTATGAATAGTATATTGATGATATGATGAAATTATTGGTTTATTGATGAAAGACACTGCAAATCTAACATGCAAACATGGTTTTGTAATACCTGCTAAACATTCATTTATACTCAAATGTATTAGTTTATATTTTCAAAGAATACACACAGAGCAGGACTGACCATATGGTGATTACCCATAAGATGACCGTAGGAAGCTGCCTAATGCCCAGAGATTAGAGAGGAGTCCCATTAATATGCCTGGCTCCATTCACCAGCCCTATGTGAAGAAAGAACAGGAGGGCCCAGACCGGTAACATGCCTAAGGCCCTGTGCGATCTTAATTCTCTGTACATACATGTGATATGTACTAGATCAGGGGTGATCCCTGCAAAGGTAGATCCTCAGATGTTGTAGAACTACAACTCCCATGCTTTACATGCGTTTGGAATGTATTTAGAATGACAAAGCATCATGGAAACTGTAGTTTTAATCATCTGGGGACCTTCCCATTGGGCACCCCTGTACTAGATTAACTATGAAGAAGTTTGTGCCTTTACCACCTACAATGTAATGATTTACCATATAGGTTGTAGATGTGGATGCTTGACTAATCTTTAATAAAGGGCTGGAGCCTGTAAATGATTTTACCATGCTCTGCCTGGATCTTTTAATTTTGTATATAGATATTCTGCATTAGATGGACTATATTTGGTTGATGATGCTGAGCTTACTTGCCATTGCGCTCTCAAACCTATCATTGCTGTCCCAGTTCATATGGGCTACTGTAGAAGTCTACTTTTGAATCGGCCTACTGGCAGCTGAGAATTCATGCTGTAAGGAGAACCTCATCTTTTGACAAACTGCTAAAAAAAAAATTGTCTCTTTGCATTATAATCACTACAATGAACTGTAGTGGTTTTTGTGCTTAGGGTGTCCCTTAAATTGGATACAGTTAAGTCTATAAGTATACTACTAAAATGGAAATGGAAAAATGGAAAATGATACCTTAGTAACGATCAAGGGTCCGATGGTATTGGTTTTGAATGTAACTATCATTCTTTCTTCATTGGGCAGTTCCTTATTCTTTCCCACAAAAATACCAGCGTTATTTATAATCATATTTAAACCACATCCTTTCAGTCTGTCGTGAACTGCTTTATACGCTGCTTTAATACTTTCCTGGTTTGTTGCGTCTGTGAATATACAGTAAGATACAATCATGTGTGTTATCAGGTACCTCTAGATAAAGAATGCATGTGCCCCCATCCCATAAACAATTCTAAATAGCAAATTTAAAAAAAATCATTTTGTGGGCCTTTAAGATTAAGAAAACTTGGCCCTTATATTAAGACAATTCTCATTGTTGAGTCAGTAACCTGAGCAACTTATTTTTCCTCTTCCTATGGCATGGTAAATGACGAGATGAAAGCTGCAAGCAACCTAGAAATTATTATTATTTATAAAGCGCCAACAAATTCCGCAGCTCTGTACAATGATTGAAATGAGTAGGGTTGGAAAATAAGCCTTGTTTCAATGTGTCAGGACCTCCAAAAAAGTGGGAGCAATGGAGGAAGTAATGAACTGAGATACCAAATATCACAACTAGATCTCTTTCAAGAACCAAAGAAAAAAAGCCTCAAATAGTGAATATATTATTATGATTATTATTACTGCCATTTATAAAGAGCCAACATATTTTTTTACAGTGCCCCACAATTGGGAAAGAACAATACAATATAAACAGACTGAAACAAAAGAAAGAAGGCCCTGCCCAGGGGCTTACAATCTAAAAGTAAAATGGGGAGATGAGACAAGAGCTAGCAGAGGAATTTGTAGGTGATGGCAGAGATAATTTATAGTGTGATTGCAATAACTGATAACATGCAAAGGGAATTAGGAGGTGATTGACTGTGGTTCCAAACAGCTGGAGGAACATGCTATATAGTTAGAAGGAACCAGGGTACTAAATTTGTACTTTTTATTTTGTAAGATAAATAATGTTTTTATTTTTTTATTTTTGTTACATTAGACTTTGGTATCCAATGTTCTTAACTAATTTTTCTCTGAAAAGTATAAGCATGCATATGGACTCAGTACTTGGTTTGGGCCCCTTTTGCAGAAATTACTGCCTCAATGCGGCGTGGCATGGAAGCTATCAGCCTGTGGCACTGCTGAGGTGTTATGGAAGACCAGGATGCTTTAATAGTGCCCTTCAGCTCTTCTGCATTGTTCGGTCTCATGTCTCTCATCTTTCTCTTGGCAATGCCCCATAGATTCTCTATGGGGTTCAGGTCAGGTGAGTTTGCTTGCCAATCAAGCACAGTAATCCCACGTTCATTGAACCTGGCTTTCGTGCTTTTGGCAGTGTGGGCAGGTGCCAAGTGTTCTGTCCTCCAGATGTTATTCAGTATATTTGTGTTTTGTTGTTTAGAATAACATGTTTGGTTCCTTTACTTACACCAGCTGGTTATGTAGAGCTCAGGCACCATCTACTGTTCCTTTTTGGTATAGCTCTAGTTCTGCATATATTGTAACTCAGGAGGTTTAAATAAAGTTGTTAGAAAGTACAGTATTATGGGCAGACCTTCTACAGGAAGTGTATCAGCCTCCATTTTGGGAAGATACAGTAAGCCGCAAGTCATGTTCTTCTCATCCCTAGCCATCACCCCTTAGAGAGCTTAAAAAATGAGTTCTTGTTATCCTATCCTGTATTATTGATCCTTGTTTCTTTGTTGTATGCAGTACTGTACTGATTGATGTTTATTTCTACTATTTTGTAGTTTCACCTGGCTTGTTCTTATAAATTTGAGATCAAAGAAATATGGTATCTGAAGTTTATGGAGCAGGAAGGTTTAGCTCTCTGTCCTAGAGACAGAACACCAAGTCCTACTGGAATATGAAGTCAGCATCCCCAAAAAGCTTGTCTGCAGAAGGAAGCATGAAGTGCTCTAAAATCTCCTGGTAGACGGCTGTGTTGACCCTGGACTTAATGAAGCACAGTGAACACCAGCAGATGACATGGCTCTCCAAATCAACACAGACTGTGGAAACTTCACACTGGACTTCAAGCGTCTTGCAGTGTGTGCCTCTCCATTCTTCCTCCAGACTCTGGGTCCTTGGTTTCCAAATGAAATGCAAAAGTTGCCCTCATCAGAAAAGAGAACTTTGGACTACTGAGCAACAGATCAGGTCAGTTTTTCTTTAGCCCAGGTAAGACGCTTCTGACGTTGTTTGTTATTCAGGAGCGGCTTGACAAGAGGAATACGACATCTGAAGCCCATGTCCAGGTTCCGTCTGTGTGTGGTGGCTCTTGATGCACTGACTCCAGCCTCAGTCCACTCCTTGTGAAAGTCCCCAACACTTTTGAATGGCCTTTTCCTGACAATCCTCTCCAGGCTGCGGTCATCCCTGCTGCTTGTGCACCTTTTTCTTCCACACTTTTCCCTTCCACATAACTTTCTATTACTGTGCTTTGATACAGCACTTTGGGAACATCCAACTTCCTTCGCAATTACCTTTTGACCCTTATGGAGGGTGTCAATGATGGTTTTCTGCACAACTGTCAGGTCAGCAGATCCTACTGAACCAGACTGAGAGACCATTTAAAGGCTCAGAAACCCTTTGCAGGTGTTATGGCTTAGCTGATTAGAGTGGGACAATGTGGGCCTAGAATATTGCACCTTTTCACAATATTTTAATTTACTGAAATTGTGGATTTGGGGTTTTCATGAGCTATAAGCCATACTCATCGCACTTATGACAAATCACGGCTTGAACTATCTTGCTTTGCATGTAATGCGTCTATCTCATATATTAGTTTCCACTTTTACGTTGCGTTACTGAAATAAATGAACTTTTGCACGATATTCTAATTTTTTGAGTATCACCTGTACTTCCTGTAAATTAATGGCGTGTATACTTTTTTTTAACCAGTTCCAGAACTTCTTTCCAATTTTCTAATGAATTATAGATTTACATATCCCTTTCTCATTTCTTTATTCTAAGATAGAGAAAGATATCTCTATTTAATTATATTTAGATTGTATAACGTCAAACAGCAGTATTTTCCCCTCTATCGTAATATCGGCTAAGGTATTAATACCCACATGATCCCATCAAGATACATCTAAATCCTGTGTATATATATTTAAGAATTTTGAGGAGTGTAGCCTGACTGAGATAGTCTTTAGATCCTAATCTGGCACTCACCTTTGCCCTGATCTTAACTGCGTCTTTAAGCAATGGATTTTTTTAATTTAAATGTTTAATCATAGACTGCTTAATCCAAAAAATATATACTGGATTTGAAAATCCATGCTGAGAATTTACACAATGGAACCATCCAGTTTTTTAATTTTGCCCCAGGCCTTCACATGTGTGAACATGGTTACATTGTGTAATAGATTCAGATCGGGGAAGCCCAATCCTATTTATATACTATCCCTTTTGATTATGTTCTGCGCAATTCTGGGTTTCTTGCTTCCCCAAATAAAGGAAAGGAATAGTGATAAAATTTTCGGTTCGCAAACGGCGAACCGGGCGAACTGCCATAGACTTCAATAGGCAGGCAAATTTTAAAACCCACAGGGACTCTTTCTGGCCACAATAGTGATGGAAAAGGGGACTAACACCTGTACTGTGGCATGCCGGAGGGGGATCCATGGCAAAACTCCCATGGAAAATTACATAGTTGATGCAGAGTCTGGTTTTAATCCATAAAGGGCATAAATCACCTAACATTCCCAAATTGTTTGGAATAACATGCTTTAAAACATCAGGTATGATGTTGTATCGATCAGGTAGTGTAAGGGTTACGCCCGCTTCACAGTGACAGACCAAACTCCCTGTTTAACGCAGCGCAAACAACCGCAAACAGTCCATTTGCACAACCGCAAACTCCCCATTTGCACAAGGTTGGATACCAAGCTAGCCATGTCCCGTTCCTTGACCTCAATGATGTCATTGAAGGTCTCTTCCTCCACCCAGCCACGTACAACACCAAGGGTCCCCGAAAGGTGACAACAAGCCCCCTGGGACGCCTGCTGTATTTGGTCTTCCACCTCCTCAAAGCCACCTTCCTCCTCTGACTCCTCTTCTTCAGACTCCTCTCTCTGCGTTGCCTCTCTCTGCATTATTATAAGGTGTGTTAAGTAGTATTATTCCTATCAGTTTAATCCCTGTTACGTCCCTATCAGGGGACGTGTATATGGCATCGATTTTAGGAACCGGGAGATGGAAAAAGATGCTTGGTCGGTCCTCCTTCAAATTTGGGGCACTGCGCGTGCAATCTAATGTGCCACCAGATAGGAGTGGTGTGTTAAGTAGTACTATTCTTATCAGTTTAATCCCAATGTCACGACTACTAGTGTGGTCCAGCACGCAGAAACTATGTAAACATATACATAGGCAAGAAAAGGAAAATAAAAGGACAGAGCGTAAACCGGACCTTAGAATGGCCGGACTAATACGCTAGAGACAGGGAATGGTCAAAGGGAAAGCCGAGGTCAAGGAAGCCAGAAAATACACAATACCATTTATACAAGCCAAGTCAGGGAAACCAGAATTCAGAATAACCAGGGAAAAGCCAAGATTAGGATACCAGGAAATCAGATTCACAATGATAAAGCACTCTCAGGAAACCAGGAACAGGAAACCACGACAGGGCAAGGTACTGGGGTGAGCTAGGGATTTAAATATCATGTGGCGGGCCGGCAGTCGCGACAACCTGTTGCGTCCCACTCATCAGGCATTTTTTAGTCAAATGTATCGACCACTGTCAGTCCCTTCGGGATCCATCCCTCATTCATCTTAATAAAGGTGAGGTAATCTAGACTTTTTTGACCTAGGCGACTTCTCTTCTCAGTGACAATACCTCCTGCTGCACTGAAGGTCCTTTCTGACAGGACACTTGAAGCGGGGCAGGCCAGAAGTTCTATCGCAAATTGGGATTGCTCAGGCCACAGGTCAAGCCTGCACACCCAGTAGTCAAGGGGTTCATCGCTCCTCAGAGTGTCAATATCTGCAATTAAGGCGAGGTAGTCTGCTACCTGTCGGTCGAGTCGTTCTCTGAGGGTGGACCACGAAGGGCTGTGGCGATGCATAGGACTTAAAAAGCTCCGCATGACCTCCATCAACAACACGTCTGTAAAGCGTCCTGTCCTTGCCGGCGTTGTCGTGGGAGGAGGAGGATTACTTTCACCTCTTCCCCTGTTAGATTCCCGTTGTGCTGTGACATCACCCTTATACGCTGTGTAAAGCATACTTTTTAATTGATTTTGGAACTGCTGCATCCTTTCCGACTTGCCGTAATTTGGTAACATTTCAGGCACTTTCTGCTTATACCGGGGGTCTAGTAGCGTGGACACCCAGTACAGGTCGTTCTCCTTCAGCCTTTTTATACGAGGGTCCCTCAACAGGCACGACAGCATGAAAGACCCCATTTGCACAAGGTTGGATGCCGAGCTACTCATGTCCTGTTCCTCGTCCTCAGTGATCTCACTGAAGGTATGTTCTTCCCCCCAGCCACGTACAACACCACGGGTACCAGATAGGTGACAACGAGCACCCTGGGATGCCTGTTATGGTTGGTCTTCCTCCTCCTCAAAGCCACATTCCTCCTCTGACTCCTCTTCCTCACAATCCTCTTCCAGCGTTGCCGCAGGTCCAGCAAGCGATGCTGATAAGGCTGTTTCTGGTGGTGATGGTGACCACAACTCTTCCTCTTCACGCTCATCTACGGCCTGATCCAGCACTCTTCGCAGAGCACGCTCCAGGAAGAAAACAAATGGTATAATGTCGCTGATGGTGCCTTCGGTGCGACTGACTAAGTTTGTCACCTCCTCAAAAGTACGCATGAGCCTACAGGCATTGCGCATGAGCGTCTAGTAACGTGGCAAAAAAATTCCCAGCTCCGCAGAGGCTGTCCTAGCACTACTCGTTAGCGGCTTTTTCTTGTTGGAGCAGGCGGTCGAACATTAGGAGTGTTGAATTCCAACGTGTCGGGCTGTCGAAAATCAAGCGCCTCACTGGCATGTTTTTTCGCCGCTGGATATCTGAAAAGTGCGCCATGGTCGTGTAGGAACGCCTGAAATGGCCACACACCCTCCTGGCCTGCTTCAGGACGTCCTGTAAGCCTGGGTACTTATGCACAAAGAGTTGTACGATCAGATTACACACATGTGCCATGCACGGCACATGTGTCAACTTGCCCAAATGTAATGCCGCCAACAAATTTCTTCCGTTGTCACAAACCACTTTGCCGATCTCCAGTTGGTGCGGAGTCAGCCACTGATCCACCTGTGCATTCAGGGCAGACAGGAGTGCTGGTCCGGTGTGACTCTCTGCTTTCAAATAATTCTCTTAGAATACACAAAACAAATTATCAAAATAAAGGGATACATGTATATCAGAAATACACCAACCTGTGGCAAAGAATAGAAATGATTCCAGAGTCCTAGCTTCTCTTTAGAAAATCCAATTCAAATTGTAAAATAACTGAATCCACAACAACCTCTTCGAGTTCCAGCTTCTTTTAAATAGTACCAGCCATTTACTAACCTGTTTCTGGCGTTTTCTGCAAATTACCTGTAATTTTCGGATTTTGCCCATAGTAAAGATGGCCACCGTGACCTTGTGACCTTACCCAGACTGCATTCTGGTGCCAAAACGAACCGAGCGCATTGCGCATGTGCGGGCTTCCTATCCAAGCTCCCGACCTGGGAGAACCGAGGACGGAAAGCCTGGGACCCTAATTGCAGTTAGGAAGACTCCTAAAGGTCTCAGGCAGCCCAGGACTGGCCTGGTAAGAATAAAACCGGGTAAAAAGGGGAATCACATAGAAAGAAGATTGTAGAGATTAATTATATCATACACTGTGCACTTTACAGCACACTGCAAAAAAAATGGTGAAAGTAGTAGAGTATTTAAAATTATAGAGGGAGCTTAAAGGACCACTATAGTGCCAGGAAAACATACTGCCATGAGGGTGTATATGATGCCATGATTAGCCAGGAAATATAATTTTTTTTTAAATATTTTTATTTATATATAGGTATATATATAGTGATATATACGTATATATTTATGTATATAGATATATATATTATTTCGTTCTACGTGTATTTCGATATAAATATATATATATATATAAATATACCAATACAGTTAGAACGAAATAACACATCTATATTTTTTTAATTATTTATTTTTAATTATTTTATTTTTTAACGTAATTACATATTTTTTTAATATTATATATAAATATATATATATAACAATAATTATATATATTTAATCAGTACCAGTCTACGTGTAATTTTATATTAAAATATATATATATATAATTATATATATATTAATAGTAAAATACACCTAGACAGTGTATGTGTCTGTATGTATGTCTATGTGTATATGTGTATATATGTATATGTGTGTGTGTATATATATATATATATATATATATATATATATATATATATGATCTAAGTATATAATTATTTTTTTTTACACTTAGAAAACTTAAATTTTATTTGAATTCAGTCAGCAGGGGGTCTAACTGTCATTACAGGCAGTCCCCCTGCTGGCAATGCAGCAGGCAGCTAACCCAGCCATGTGATTGTGAGGTCCTCGCAAGGACCTCACTCTCACATGGCCGGAGGGGGCTGCAGGAGGTCGGATGTGCCGCGGGGGGCTCCCTGGGAGTCTCCCCAACCGCGATTGCCGGCATGGGGTCGCCGGCGACCGGGTAAGTAAAAAAAAAAACGGAGGGCGTACAATTACGCCCGGCGGCATTTAGAGCCGCCTAAAATAGGGTGTAATAGTATGCCCTCCGGTCTGTTTGCCAGAATTTTTGGAAATAATTTCACATCTATATTTTTAAGTGAAATGGGCCTGTAGTTTGTAATTATGCTCAGATCTTTCCCCACTTTTGGAATTGGGCAAATAGAGGCTTGGAGCATTTCTTGAGGTATGTCTCCCTTTCCCCCAAAATAATTGAACATTCTGATTGGCAGTGGGGAAATCATGGGGTCCGCTATCTTCTAGAACAGTGCTGTAAATCCGTTGGGACCTGGCGATTTCCTTGCTTTCAATCCCATTATTACTTTTTCAACTCTCCTATAGTGAAGGGTTGGTTTAACATCTCTTGTTTATCTTCCAAAATTCTTGGCAAGTTTAACCTTGCAGTGAGGAGGGTAGTGATACTGCTAATGAAATACTTGGCCCAGTCAATCAATTGATGCTCACACAAGCATTAGATGATCTGTTGGAGAAAATCAAAGTTGATTTGAAATTAAATTCAAATGAATGAAAGCAACAAATTGCTCAGATTATGCAAAATCTATCTATACAGACAGAACAAGTCAAATTATTAAGAAAGTGTCACGGCTGCTAGTATGGTCCAACACGCAGAAACTATGTAAACATATACATAAAAAAGGAAAGGAAATAAAAGGACAGAGCATAATCCGGACCTTAGAATGGCCGGACTAATACGCTAGAGATAGAGAATGGTCGAAGGGAAAGCCGAGGTCAAGAAATCCAGAAATACTCAGATACCGTTTAAACAAGCCAAGTCAGGGGAACCAGAATTCCGGAATAACCAGTGAAAAGCCAAGATCAGGATACCAGGAAGTCAGATTCACAAAGATAAACGCACTCTCGGGAACCAGGAACAGGAAACCACGACAGGGCCAGGAACTGGAGTGAATTAGGGATTTAGATATACCTCTCTGGGCTCTGATTGGTCAGAGGGTGACCACTAACCACAGAACGTGCGCGTGCGTTGACGTCGTGACGTCATGCCCACGTCCGTATAAATTTGAGAGCGTAGCTTGTGGTGTGCACGACCACGTGGTCAACGCCATCTTTGATTTGGGCGCAATGCCCAGAAGACGCGGAGGAGCGGTTCCCGGCGAGCAGGTAATCTAGCAATATCGGCGAGTTCGTGCCGGTCAGGCACGGCTGCGCCATGCGGCGTGCCCGGAGCCGCAACAGAAAGGAATGCGAAGCACTCCAAAATGAAAATCAGAACATAAAAGAAATATTGTCTAAAACCGAATCTAAATTAGCAGACCTTGAAGATCGGTCTAGAAGAAGAAATCTGAGAATAAGGGGTATCACAGAAGACATAAAAAATTATCAGCTTGAAGATTACTGCAAAAAATTAGTCTCCAGTGTCACAGAAGAAGAGAAAATGGGAAACCTCCAGTTTGAAAGACTCCCTAAACCAAAATCATCATCATTTGCAAACAAACCACGAGATACAATTATACAATTAACAACTCATATTTCAAAGATCTGTTCTTAAGAGAATTCAACAAAACACCCTCTCCAGAAACATCACTTTCTTCACAGATCTTTCGTTAGCAATGAGGCTAAACAGGAAAAAATTTAGTGAAATTACCCAATGTTTGAGAAACAAAAAAATTGTGTACAGATGGCTCCACCCGACAAGAATAATGTTTAATTGGGATAATCAATTATTTATTTTTGAATACCCAGAAAAGGCAAAAAAATTAGTTGATGAAAATCGGCCTAATAGAAAAGTGATTGGGGAAACTGAGCTTATGAAGAAGATGAAGGATAAAGGATGAAAACTATTCCTTCTCCTTATTCTTAGTTATTTATGTATTTTTTTTTTTTAATTTTTATATATATATATATATATATATATATATATATATATATATATATATTTATATATTAGGAAGCTGGAATGGGGAGGGGCGGAAAGGAGGGAGGAGAGAATATAGTTCCCTTTTCTCTTCCTTCTTCCCTCTCCCTCCCCCCATTTAACATGGGGTATATAAGGAGAGTATACTATTTTGGTTGTGGAGAATTTTATTTTTATTTTTTTTGTGGTATTACTTTCTTGCACGTTTATATAGAAAGTAGAGTAGAAATATTAATACAGGCATTACACATAAAGATATTAAACATATTTTTCTATTTCACTGATTAATATAAGGTAATAAGAAACTTTGACGCACTACATAAGGATATAACATATATGGATTTTAACTCACTGTCTACTATAAGGTAATAAGAAATAGGGTATTCTAGAAGATCACAAGAAGAGATAAAAATATATAAAAAGGGTGCGGAGCCAAGCAACCCAGACGTGTTAGGAGAGAGCTCCAACGTCTGGGGACAGAACACAGGGAATTACACCCAGCTACTACTACCCACAAACCGCAGACCAAGAGATCCACAACCGTGAGGGGCTGCTGCATAGAATGATACCTCTCCCGAGCACTGGCGTAGCAGACCAAACATATCGAGGCCTGTGGCCTACCCACGACCGAGCCACGAGGAGACGGGCGCTCCACGGGCACAAGAGCAGGGAATGGAACCCCCAGGAAAAATCTCCCCTCCCCGGACCGGTTGGGGTCATCCCGGTCCACACATCAGAGCAGAGAATACTCAACCAAGCGCTGTATTAGGGTGCGTGACGGGCAAGAGAGAGCCACGAGTCCCGAACAAAATGGCCGACGGCAGCATCACCCAAGCACAGCAACAGACCCCCAGTGACTGGGAGGCAGCCTCCAATGCACGGTTCGAAGCCATGTGGGAGCAGTTCTGGGCTAAGCTAGCACACAAGCACCGGCTGCCTCAGCTACTAAATTTTGGGAAGAAATCCAGAACACCTACAGCATGACAACCAGCCAGGGCTGTACACCCTGGGCAGCCCACGACCGGGACAAAAAAGGATATGCTTACTATATGATACACTAGAAACAAGTATACACCTGCAACAAGCCACCGCACCTGAGAGGCATGCACCCACTATCGCATATCGGAGTCCCGGCAAGCATAGAGATCTTGGAAACACCTCCGCGAGGAGGAAAAGTGGGAGGGGCAGGCCCGAAAGTGGACGGGTCTACACGGCTCGCAATATCGAGTACACTCATGAGACTGCATACCGCAGCCCGCTCAACAAGACCAGTGGCATGCACTCAGACAAGCCGGGAGGCCTGCTCAAGCGGCAGCTTGCAGCTTGAACTGTGCAGCCGCAACAAAGGAGACTGCCATTATATGGACCACCTCGGATTGCTCCCAGACCTATGCTGAAAAGCCTGCCGACCTCTGGTATAGGATGAATGGGGACACTTGCAACAAGCTGGCACACTGATCTGATATTATGCCTACAGTCCCTGATTATACATTAGTAGTTAAATTGTCTACTGTATTACTGTCCCTTTTGCCTCCTCACATCCCCATAGAATAGTTATCACCAACGATGTTATATTTGCTTTGTACCATAAAATAGATACTAACTACCTGTGCATGCAACCAAAATTACTCTTTCACTTATAAGACACTGTTTGGATTAGTCTAGCATACTATATGTGAAGCTGCAGTTAAAACTATGTCCTGCCTCCAATGTCTTAGCTACATACTTAAGCTTGAGAAACTCCCGACTTTTATACCTAACTAGCATGCTCCAAACTTGACCCTCTTGTAATTAAATATAAAATTTGCACACTGTTCCTACATACCCCACTGTTATCTTTGTTCTAAAATAAGTGGATTGCCGTTGGGGTACCACATGCTTGTATGTTACTCTCATATGCACCACAAAAAATAAATAAATATATATATATATATAAAACACTACAAATAAGCATATGAAACATAAAAAGTATATATCACTTTAATATAAGGAAATAAGAAGAATGGAAACTTAGAAGTAAGGATACATCCTCTGATTCTTTTTTTAAACACTAAAATTGAGCATAACTAATAACTGCAAAATAGGAAACATGCAAGACGAATGGGGATTTACACATTCAAATATCTTTTTATATTTTTTTTATATATTTGCTGTACTATATCTAAATGTCCTAAATTTTCTTTAGGGTAGGGATGGTAGCTAGTATTAGCTGCTCAGCCTTAGTAGGGTTATACTAATATATAGGGACAAAGTAATTTCTGATAAGGCCTAAAATGAGCATGATATTAGTAGTTTAATTACTATGCTAATGTAGAATAAAGGGAACAGATGGATATTCTTTCCAGGATTTAAAAGGCTATCTCTAACTTGTTCCTCTGTTAATATGGTTTTGGTTGCTTTCATTCCTTTCTTCTTCCTTGAGGCTGATACTTCCTGTGAATATGATCTCTCCATAAAAACATAAAAATAATTTTAGGTGAACTCCTCTCCTTAGAAACTCAACACCGGCACGTGCTTTTTTAGTTGTTCAGAGTATTGGCCTAGGATACAAATGATATCCTCGTGGGCACTAGGTATGATTGGATTTGGAATGGAAGGATGTTTGGAGCTGGTGACGGGTGTTCTCAGAAGCATTGGAATAAAGGAATCCAGGACAGAAAAGGGGGAAGAGTTGGGCACTTTGGGGTTCGGTATCATACTCAATGAAAATTAAAATAGTATCAATCCATACCAAGGGACTAAACTCTCCAGAGGAAAGAGTCTATCTCTATGATTTACTGATTAAAGAAAGGATAAATATTGGCTTTGCACAAGAGACGCATTGGGATTTTCAGGGATCTTCCTTTTGGAGCTATAAAAAAAATCCCAATAGTCTATGAAGCGGTTTTAAGGGATGAGAAGAAAAAAGGAGTAGCCATAATAATATCGAAGGAATTACAATTCATATATATTTCTCATGAAGCAGACAATAATGGGAGATACATAATATCGGTTTGTAAAGTAAAATAAAAATCATATACTCTTGTAAATTGTTACGCTCCCAATGATTTCCCCATAAAATTTCTGAATTCCTTAATGGAAAAATTGGATAGATTCTCCAAAGGAGTCTTAATAATTGGGGGTGACATGAACTGCACTGCGGACGCCAATCTGGACAAAAAAATAATGAAAGGGAATAAGATAGATAATAAGACTAAAGAGTACACAGAAAAACTAACTAGATGTATGATAAAAAATAACCTTTACGATGTGTGAGAACGCAGCATCCACTGGAGAGAGATTACAGTTATTTTTTTTAATGAAGTTTGACTGTCTGAAATGTTGTACTTCCTCTTCTATTCATTGGCGGATCCAGGGGGGGGGCAACGGGGCAATTGCCCCCCCCGAGAAATCCGCCGGTCTCCCTCCCCTGCCAGCCGTGCAATGTGCCTGCGGACCGGGGAGGAAGATCACAGATTTATTTAAATAATCTACAAGTGCCCCTCCCGAGATCAGGCTCTGGATCCGCCACTGCTTCTATTGGTAATAAAAGCTGGTCTGACCATGCCCCGGCCTACTGTGAATTGAAGAACAACCTGCAGTGTAGCAGCAGAGTGGAGTGGAAAATGAATGATTGCAACTTATGTTCCTAGGAAGCTAAGAAAAAATAAGTAGATGAAATTCAACTATTTCTAAGTTTTAATGATAATATGGATGTTTTGGACCCAACTCTATGGAACACTCTATGGATGTACTATAAGGGGGTATTTAATTAAAAACAATGTAAATCTGCGGAACATGAAAGGGAAACCTCTTGCAGATTTATACATTTTTGCTAATTTAGAAATATAAATTAAATCAACTCCTAATAAAACTTTAGAAGAGTCCAAAAAGAAATAAAAACCAGACTGGATGATAGATAAGAGAAAGCTATTTTTAACTCTAAACAGAAATGGTACTATAGTAACAACAGAGAAAATACAATAATTACTAACAAATTAAAACAGAAACTAGAAAGATCTAGGATTCAAAGACTGGTAGTCAACAATAAAATCTTATTGGACCCCGCACAAATAGCCGAGACATTTAGGGAATGGATTTTTATAGATCCCATTATAATATAAACAGTAAAGAAATACTCAAAACATCGTTGAAAAATTTCTTACAAAGGATAAATAACGTTTCTGACAAGCTCATGAACTTAATAAAATTAGAAATTGATTTTAAAAAATGATGCAAAAAAGTCAAGTGTTTAATTGCATTAAAGGACCACTATAGTGCCAGGAAAACAAACTCGTTTTCCTGGCACTATAGTGTTAATAGGTCCCCCCAGCCTCATGGCCCCCCTCCTGCCGGGCTCTAGGCGGAGGAAGGGGTTAAACACTTATCTTTCTCCAGCCCCGGGCTCCCTCGGCGCTGGGGACTCTCCTCCTCCTTCCAACGTCATTGGCTGAATGCACATGTGCAGCAAGAGCCGCGCGCATTCAGTCAGTCCATAGGAAAGCATGAAAGACGCGCGGAAGTGCCTTCTCTATGAAACTGTTTTTCTCTGAAACTGCTATGTTTACAGCAGGCAGGGTTAATCCTAGATGGACCTGGCACCCAGACCACTTCATTAAGCTGAAGTGGTCTGGGTGCCTATAGTGGTCCTTTAATGCTTAAATAGCCAAGAATTTAATATTGGCATGAGTAATTTGTACCCTAATACAGTTTATGATGGGTATATAATTCATATACCTCCCTATAATTCATCAATGAAAATCAATAACTAATAGAAAACAAACAGAGGAAAAAAAGGGACATTATGACATAAGCGTGTTCATACATATGTGTCCATGATTTAGAAACCCTAATACCAATGCCTCCTATCCTAGAAACTACCTTACTAAATACACAGTCCTTGTGCACAAATCATTACAGTTTGAAGCCACAAGTAGATGGATGGGTCTACATAAGAAGTCCTGACCTAGGCTTAATACTGAATATATACAAGTCTTTTCAACAACTTTATTAACAATAACATTGGTTAATGAACACATAGGATATGTGACTAGTCTTAGTCTATAGAAAAATCTACTATCGATAATATAATGACCTTACTGTGCGAGCATGTTAAAACTGAACTGATAAAAGGGAGGACAGAAAAAGGGAAATAAAAAAGAATGGGCAAAAGAGACAGAAAAAAAAATAATATTGAAAAAGACACAAAAAAATACACAGAAATTATTTTTACACAGCCAAAACTGTTTTTGTATACATAGAAGTTCCATTTAGAAAGGAAAGGAGAAGACATTATGAGTAGTGTGAAACCTTCAGTTAGGGGCAGTAGAGTCACTCCATTTGTGTGAGATCTAAAATTCCTTTCGTTTAAACTCATGAACTTACCTAATTGAATAATGTGGAGATTTGAGTGTTTTGTGGCCAAGGAGTTTAATTCCTGTAAAGAAAAGAAATTATAAAATGAAAAAGTGCTTAGGTCACTTGGTACAGAGTGAGTACATTGCAGCTTTCAAACTAATTCTCAGATGTTCACTGGTAGCTGCTGAAGTATTGAGACTGTGATACACTGATACACTAAGAGTTGGCAACCTTCAGCACTCCAGATGTTGTGGACAACATCTGACTAGTAGTTCCTAATTTTTTTTAAACATAAGTACACTTGCTTTTTTTCTTTTGACCTTCATTATTAGCTTGGAAGTCTCACATTTCTTGAAAAAAGATAGGCATATTTCTAGCCAAGCTCACTTATTAATTTGAATTAATTACTGTATAGAAATCTCAATTTTAAGGTTGACACTTAAAAAGGCCTCCCACAGGAGGTTCCTCTAATCTCCACACATAGCAACCACAACGCATGTGCTGTGGTTGCTATAGAAATGGAGTGATGTGACATAATGTTGTTTGATGCCAGGATGCTGGCTGTAGACATCATTGAGAAGATTTTTCCTTCTTGTGATGTGTCCAGAAGAGACCAGGTGGAGCAGCGGAGGAGCAGAGGACGGACCGAAGTTGGGCTGAGGACAAAGAGTACAGGAGTGCAGGAACGGTGAGTAAATCAATATGTTTTACATTGAATACACCATGTATCTTTATTATATATGGTGTATTCAATGCATATGGGAGCATTTTCAGTTATGTTTAATTTTGCATTACAGGTTCTCTTTAAGTACAGGCTCATATATCAATGGCACGGTTAATGGGTGACATCAGAAATACCTTCTACAAGCAGTGAGCATCTATAAGGTCAACCATAGAAATCTATGCACAGACATTTGACACAATCGTTTTCTTTTTATGGAGAAGGAATTGGAGGGGAATTGTAGAACGGTGATCATTAGAGAAACATTCTTAAATGTATTCATTTTTTAATTAAGGCATTCAATATAAGAAATGAACACATAAAGAAATATCACTCTTTTTAGTGTAGAAAAAAAAATTTCTCCCAAACACAGTAAATCACAAAAGTTATGCAGTGCAAGGTAAATATAGCAGTCAGCATTTTTACCTTTCTACAGGTTCTACTAGCCTATGCTGTATTTACCATCAGTCTGCAGTCAGGACTAATTGTTTACTTAGAATTAAATTGCACAGTTCATTGCTACTAAAGACAAATAATTACATAAGTTGTTTGTCAAAGTAGTGTGCTCTTTTGGCCTGCAGTATTGTTTTTCAGATAATTTAAAAAAGCAACAGAGGTTGCAAAACAGTGAGCATTGGTTGCAATAATTGAAAGTCCGACCCGTGATGGCTGTCAGAAATTGGGATTGAGAGAGGTAGACAAGTGATGTATTTAAAAATTAAAGGAACACTATAGTCACCTAAATTACTTTAGCTAAATAAAGCAGTTTTAGTGTATAGATCATTCCCCTGCAGTCTCACTGCTCAATTCACTGCCATTTAGGAGTTAAATCACTTTGTTTCTGTTTATGCAGCCCTAGCCACACCTCCCCTGGCTATGATTGACAGAGCCTGCATGAAAAAAAAACTGGTTTCACTTTCAAACAGATGTAATTTACCTTAAATAATTGTATCTCAATCACTAAATTGAACTTTAATCACATACAGGAGGCTCTTGCAGGGTCTAGCAAGCTATTAACATAGCAGGGGATAAGAAAATCTTAATTAAACAGAACTTGCAATAAAGAAAGCCTAAATAGGGCTCTCTTTACAGGAAGTGTTTATGGAAGGCTGTGCAAGTCACATGCAGGGAGGTGTGACTAGGGTTCATAAACAAAGGGATTTAACTCCTAAATGGCAGAGGATTGAGCAGTGAGGCTGCAGGGGCATGTTCTATACACCAAAACTGCTTCATTAAGCTAAAGTTGTTCAGGTGACTATTGTGTCCCTTTAAATATACGTGAATTCAAAAAAATAAAAAAAATAAGGTGTTACATTCTTTTTTTTTTCAATGTGACAATTTTTATTGTTTTTGTTGAGTATTAAACAATACAAAAGGAGAACCCAGTACACAAATAGAGTACGTATCAGTGTCTGACATTAAACAGACAGCATTTCCAGTAAATATGACATGACAGTAGGCATAGGCGTAAACATTTTCGTGTGGTACATCGATTACTAGACAAACTGGTGTATCGGCATGTAGTTAAGGGCCTGGTGGCTTGTCCATTGGCAAACTCTTTATTGCAGCTAGGACTTCCTCCTCGGTGATGGGGTTGGATAGAGCTGATTTGTGTTGTGTAGTAAGTGAGGTAAGGTGTACTTTAATTAAACATGAGTTTTATTTATTTTTTGCTTGTAGCACTTATAGCATGTTTGTCGCATATTTTATTTGTTTTTTAAGTCTGTATGTTATTGCAGAAGCATGGTCTTGCATATTTATGCAAAGCAAGTTTTTGACGTCTATATACATTTTTTTCTGACTTTGCTCTCATACACAATATATGAAACATAAATTATATGCTTATATCTTCATTTAGACTAGTGCTTTCTAAATACATGTTTGCATTTATCAAAGAATCTGTAGGCGACCCACTTCTGTTTGTGTGTTTTCTATGATTTTTCCTCATTTCTATATATAAGCTGATATATTTTTTTTTTGCAAACATAACATTTTTTAGAGAAGAAGAAAAAGAAAAACTGTGTATAGAAGGCGCTTATAGAATATTAAAGATTGTGTAAAAAATGCTACAACACTCTTGTGGGCGTCCCTCACACCCACCTCAAATTGTAAGAACTAGAAGAAAGGTGAAAAAGCCAAAGGCAGTTCACCTATATGAGTGGAGCACTGGAGCATACAGTGATAATGATGGACACCTACCCAATAACAAGGGTCATCTGGTACTAATATTGTAGCAGTATCACTTTCAATTCAGCATATATACAATAAAAAGAGAAACATATACAGAAAAAATAATAGTGTAAATCTGTATAATAATATATTGTTATGCAGTGATCATAAGAAGTACCAACTCACATATTGTAGAGCCTAAGTAAGGATAGGCTCAGGTCACTTGCGCTGTAGTACCGTCTGGTGGTACTATTCCCCTTTTCTTGAAAACGTAGACAGAATCCCGCAGGGAAAACGTAATAAGAGGAAATATAGTATAGTAACTTTGAATAATAAAGGTGAATATGCTATATCTTTAAATAAGTGCTCACCTTGTTTTGAGCCTAGTACTTGGCTCTAAGTTAATCAGCATGAGTGTCAGAATAAGGGAGACACCTTCCCTTCTTGGAGCAGCTTTAGTGAAGATCAGAGGGAACTTTGGATAAAAAAATTAATTTATTTTGCCAACAGGCAATAAAATACAAATCAATAAAACAAAGTAAAAAAAATGTCCCATAAATGTCTTTCTATTCTGAGACGCGTTTCGCCCTACTTGAGGGCTTTCTCAATCAGTTTACACTGCTCTTATTCATGTTCCGGTTTAAATATCCCGGTCTGATTCTTCATTGGTGGGTTTCCTTGTCAATTAGCCAATCCATCCACTTGTTTAAGGGGAGTGTACTGTGGCTTATCTCATTCCGTTTCGTATGTTACGTCCGTGACCGGAAGTGACGTCAGGCACGTTGCCGCGTTACTTCCGGTATTGCAATAAGTAGGGAAAGAGGCAAAACACTATATACTCATGTTTGTCAATTCCCTTATGCCCTTTATTTCTATTCTTCATGAAATTTATATTAAACAAGTAGAATGTTAGGAGAATATCCTCAATTGCATTAAATATACAATCAAAGTTATTAGGACATAAAAAAAGATAAAAATATAAATATGAGTGTTAATAAATATTGTTTAAATACAGCAAAAATTTAACATTCACACAGCATATACATAAAACTTAACAGAAAGCTTCAGAGCCATAACTATAAAAATAATTTATATAGTGCCATAGGATTTGGGGCACCTATATTTAAAGATCCTCTCAAATCACATGGAGATTGTGCTATAAACAACTAGGCAGAAGAAGCCAATATCTTAAATTCAAAATATAAAAGATTTACACATGCTGTTTAAAGTAATATCATAAAAAGTGACACATTTCAAAATCACCATTAAGGCCAGTGGGAATCATGGTATTGAGATTGAAAATCCATCTCATTTCTTGTTGTCCCATCTTCCTTATTGGATCCTCACCCCTCCAATTGATGTTAACAATTTGAATACCCATAAATGTCAATTGGGTTGGATCACAATTATGTTTCTGTTTAAAGTGTGCTGAAAGGCTATGTTTGTCAAAACCCTTCCGAATGTTGCGAATATGCTCTTGTATTCTTATATGGAGGGATCTAGTGGTCCTACCTACATAACTTAAACCACATTGACATGTGATGAGGTAAATAACTCGTTTAGAATAACAAGTTATAAGTTGATTTATTTTATAGTTATTGGGCTGTTTACTTTGGAGTTGAGGCTCACAGGTAGAAAATGAAGTGATGTGTCTCTTTTTTTGGCCACTATTCTTTCATGCACCACAGGTGCCACAGCCATAGAATCCATTCTTTTGATTAAAGACATTTTTAATCGTTTTATGTTCTTTTATATGGTTCCGTACTAAATTAGTCTTTAAACTGGGGACTCCTCTATAAGTAAAAATAGGTTTATTTGGCAACACCTTATTTAGGAACATATCATTTTTTTAAATCGACCAGTATTTCTGAAAAATCCTTTTTAGTTTATAGCTCTGGCAACTGAAGTCGCAGATGAATGCCAAATTGCGTTCTTCTGTTTCTATGAGTGGTGATTTATATTGTAAAAGTGACTCTCTGTCCTTTAAAGCAACTTCACGTTGGGCTTTATCCAATAGTTGGGCTTTATAGCCTTTTTGCTTAAAGGACCACTCTAGGCACCCAGTCCACTTCAGCTTAATGAAGTGGTCTGGGTGCCAGGTCCAGCTAGGGTTAACCCATTTTTTCATAAACATAGCAGTTTCAGTGAGACAGCCACTATTTCCTCTAGTGGCTGTCTCATTGACAGCCACTAGAGGCGCTTGCGTGCTTCTCACTGTGATTTTCACAGTGAGAGCACGCCAGCGTCCATAGGAAAGCATTATGAATGCTTTCCTATGTGACCGGCTGAATGCGCGCGCAGCTCTTGCCGCGCGTGCGCATTCAGCCCAGGAGGAGGAACGGAGGAGGAGAGCTCCCCGCCCAGCGCTGGAAAAAGGTAAGTTTTTACCCCTTTCCCTTTTCCAGAGCCGGGCGGGAGGGGGTCCCTGAGGGTGGGGGCACCCTCAGGGCACTATAGTGCCAGGAAAACGAGTATGTTTTCCTGGCACTATAGTGGTCCTTTAAAATCATTAAGAATTTTACATGATTGGATATTAAAAACTTCATTATCGGTACAGTTCCGTCTGATCCTCATCAATTGTGCTTTAGGTGCATTGGTAAGCCAGGGAGAAAAATAAGAGCTTGTCTCCTTAATATAGCTATTGACGTCTACTTTTTTGAAATGTGTTTTAGTTTTAATTTCTCCTTCATCTATATATATTTGGAGATCCAAAAAATCCACAGACTGACGGCTATAGTTGCTTTCCAATTTAATGCCCAAGTGCTGACAAAAAAGATAATAGGGATTCCTCATCACTCCTCCAAATTAAAAATATGTCATCTATGTACCGGCGATAGAGCACCAGACTCTCCTCCCAGTCCCGCCTTACGTACACATGTTGATGTTCCCAAAATGACATGAATAAATTGGCGTAACTGGGGGCGAATCCGGTGCCCATCGCCGTACCACATATCTGAAGGTAAAAATCACCACCAAACCAAAAATAGTTGTTGGTGAGGATCCATCTGATTCCCTCAACGATAAAGTCTATCTGCTCATCAGGGAATTCACCAAATTCCTCCAAGAAAAACCTAGTAGCCTGGCATCCCCGTTCATGGGAAATGATGGTATAGAGTGAACTCACATCTGCTGTTACCAAGAAAAAATTGTCTTCCCACACTTGATTTTTCAAAATAACATTTTTTATTTGTAGGTGAATATTTTACAATTATTACATTATTTTTTTCATTCAAGTGGTTTTATTGATATTTTCAATAACAGGTATGTTACAATGCGTTGGTTAGAGCACGGTGTATGCAGTCTCATATGGCACGCCAGCAGTGGCGATGTTGGTTTACAGTATATTACAATGTGGTCGCTATTACACACATTTGGTGTAGTGTGTGGTTGGGGGGTTTCGTGCGGTATCCATTGGTACAGTAGGGATTGGTTGATAAAGGTAGAGGTACCAGACAATACATCTAAGTCAGTTTTCGTTAAGGTCTAAGACATTACATCTCAGTCAGTTTCCGTGTAGAATCATCCGTACCCGAAACCAGTGTTGTGGTTCCTTCGTGTTAGTCATCTCGGTCTGATGCAGGGTTAGGGAGTAATCGGGTCATCTATGCGCCTTTGTGGAGGCGCAGTATGTGTGTTCGTGTATATGTGCCGGTTGTGTTGTTGTTTAGTAGTTTGGAGGTCAGTAGCCTCTGGTCCCAGTGGGTAGGCAGCCACGTTTGGCATATCTCTATGGGTAGTATCAGCGCCACTTTATCTGGTGCTGTGTTCAGGTCTTTGAGTCTGGCCTCGCTCTCCCTGGTTCCTGGCCCCTTCCCACATCTACTTTTGGGGTTCAGTGATGTCTCGGGACAGGCTTGAGTCCTGTCTCAGTTGGCAGTGTATGTGTTGGGGGTACTGAGGTAGTGTGTAGTTGTGCAGGGGGGAGGAGTTCCTAGGTGTCTTCCCTCCACCTCCCCTCCTAGGCACGGTGCTGTCTTTCATGTCTTGTGGAGATGAGTTTGGTGGAGATAAAATGGGTGGCCTCTCCGGGTATTGTTGGGCCCATTATAGGTTTGGCCAGGTCATTGTAGTTGGCTTTTTGTCTGGTTCAGTGGTGCTTCGTGGTGATGGGTCCGTTTGGTGTTGTGTGTGGTGGGGTGCGACTCGTGGAGGTGGTGTGTGGGCTTGGTGTTAGGTGAGTGTGGTTGGTTAAAGGTGTGGTAGGGTGAGTGTCTTGCATTGTGCGGTGTCCTGATTTGGCCGCTCGGTTCGGTCATGTTCAGGATTTTGTGTCTCACTTTGGTGTCTGTTGTCAGGGTACCTGTTGGTGATGTATCCAGGGAGGACATCCTCTCTGCTTAGGGGCTCCCTTCCCTTAGCATTTCGGCATATTCCGGCCGTTTTCGCGCCGGCCGCGCTAGCTCCTCCCCCTTTTATGACGCGACGGCTAGCGTCGACGTCATGACGTCGGCATTTGCATAAAGTGCCGGGAACCGCTATTCCGGACCTTTTGGGGGCGTGGTCTCTATTTAGGTACAGGGTATTTAAAGGAAACCTTTACTACTGCTCATTGCCCTGTCGTGGTTCTAGCTTGCTAGTCACTCAGCGCGTTCTTTATCTTGTGTTTCCGGTTTTGACCCTTGCTTGTCTTTTGTCCTGTTGTCCTCTCCTCTCCTTTGACTCGGCTTGTATCTCGCTTACCTGTCCTCCGGCTCCCTTGACCTCGGCTTACCTTTTGACTATTCTTGCTTTGTCCTTACGTTAGTCCGGCCATTCTAAGGTCCGGTATACGTACCTCCTTCTGTGTGCACTCTGCGTATTGGATCCCTGTCAGTTTCCTGACATTACGACAGGGCCAGATGGATCCTGCAGGTGCTAGTCCTCCTGACCCCAGATTTGAGGCCATGGACCATAGAATGGACCAAATGGCTTTAGCGCTACAAACTTTGTTGACACGCTCCAGTACCCAGTCTGAAGAAATACGTTCCACTGCTAGCCACTCGCTAAGTACTGGTTTGGAAGTAGCCACTGTAGGCGCATCTTCCCATGTCACGTCACCATTACGATATGGGGGTTCGCCTGATGCTTGTCGTGGTTTTTTAAACCAGATAAGTATACATTTCGAACTACAACCCCGGGCTTACCCCACTGACAGGGCTAAGGTAGGCTTTATTATAACCCTGCTAATAGATAAAGCACTTAGATGGGCCAATCCCCTTTGGGAGAATGACAATCCTTTAGTCTACAACTACACTGCGTTTGTCACGGCTTTTAGAAGAACCTTTGACCCCCCAGGGAGGAAGATTAATGCGGCCAGATCCCTGTTACGCCTTAAACAACAAGATAGGACCCTTGTAGAATATGCTCTAGAGTTTAGCTCATTGGCAGCAGAAGTGAAATGGAACGAACAAGCTTTTATGGATGTTTTCTTGTATGGGTTGTAGGGAAGAATGTCTGCAGAGAGTTACTTCTGTTTGCCCCGTAAACTCTTATGCTAACACTTCTCAATCCACAGACGTTCAGATACCATTACAATATCTAGACCTCAAATCTGTATTTGACAAGGGTAAGGCGGATACTTTACCTCCCCACCGGTCTTATGACTGTTCTATTAAACTTTTCCCTGGTACTATGCCTCCCAGGGGTACGGTATACCCTCTATCCACCAAGGAAAACTTAGTTTTAGAGGAATATATCAAGGAGAATTTAGACAAGGGATTTATTAGAAAGTCTTCTTCTCCGGCGGGGGCGGGTTTCTTTTTTGTAGAAAAGAAAGACGGTACCTTACGTCCTTGTATAGACTATCGGGGATTGAACAAAATTACTATCAGAAATGCTTACCCTATTCCTTTGATTACTGAACTCTTTGACAGACTAAAGGGCTCGAGTATTTTTACTAACTTGACTTAAGAGGAGCATATAACTTAGTGCGAATTAAACAAGGAGATGAATGGATGACAGCATTTAATACCCGTTACGGGCATTATGAGTATACCGTAATGCCGTTTGGGCTTTGTAACGCCCCGGCCGTCTTCCAAGACTTGATCAATGAAGTTCTTAGAGAATTCCAACATGAATGTGTAATTGTATATTTGGATGATATATTAATCCATTCTAGAGACATTAATTCACATCATAGACAAGTCAGAAAGGTATTACAGAAACTTTTACAACATGGATTGTATTGTAAATTGGAAAAATGTAGCTTTGACCAGTCTCAGGTAACTTTCTTAGGTTACGTAATTTCCAAAGACGGGTTTATGATGGACCCGACCAAACTAAAATCGATTTTAGATTGGCCTTTACCTAAGGGACTCAAAGCCATACAAAGATTTCTTGGATTTTCTAATTATTACAGACGTTTTATTAAAGGGTACTCCTCTGTTATCGCTCCTATCACTAATATGACCAAACAAGGAGCCGATACCAAAACCTGGTCTACTGAGGCTTTATCTGCTTTCGAAACGCTCAAACAGTCTTTTGCCTCAGCACCTGTATTAGTTCATCCTGATACCTCTCTACCCTTTTTACTTGAAGTTGATGCGTCTGAAACAGGGATAGGCGCAGTGTTATCCCAAAGACAAAGTTTAGATAAGCCGCTGCACCCTTGCGGTTTTTTTTCCAAGAAACTATCACACACTGAAAGGAGATATGACATTGGTGATAGAGAACTTTTAGCTATCATTATGGCATTAAAGGAATGGAGACATTTGTTAGAGGGCACCGTCCTCCCAGTTACTATCTTGACTGACCACAAGAATTTATCGTATATGGGGGAGGCCAAAAGATTATCTGCCAGGCAGGCACGTTGGTCTATGTTCCTTACACACTTTAATTATGTGCTTACTTACAGGCCTGGTTCTAAGAACACTAAGGCAGACGCTTTGTCACGTCAGCACGAACCTACCACCTCTACAGAGGATACTTTGTTCCCTATTATTCCTGAAGTCAATATTATCGCCAACACCAATGTCAAAATACACTCTCCATTGCTCGCTGATATTCAGAACGAACAATCTCTTGCTCCCGAACGTACTCCTGTGGGCCGCTTGTTCGTGTCTCCCAAATTCCAAGTGGACATTATTCGCTGTTTCCACGATAGCAAGATCGCTGGTCACCCCGGCATCCACAAAACTTACTGCCTGATCTCCAAAGACTTCTGGTGGCCCGGTTTACGTAGGGATGTGGAAGACTTTGTCAAGGCTTGCAATGTTTGTGTCAGGAATAAACTTCCGCGGGATCTCCCTTGTGGTTTATTGCAGCCCTTAGTCGTTCCCAACAAACCTTGGGCTTGTTTGGCTATGGATTTTATTGTTGATCTACCAGCTTCCAATAGGCATACAGTTATCCTCACGGTCCTTGACAGGTTTACTAAAATGGCTCATTTCGTTCCCTTGCCTAAACTTCCGTCCTCCCCCGAACTGGCCGTGATATTTGCTAGAGAAATTTTCCGTTTACATGGTATTCCCAATGAGATTGTGTCAGACAGGGGTTCCCAATTTATTTCCTGTTTTTGGAGATCCTTCTGTTCACAGTTGGGCATCAAACTGAATTTTTCTTCGGCCTATCATCCCCAATCTAACGGAGCAGCCGAACGCACTAACCAAAAAATTGAGCAATATCTATGTTGTTTTGTTTCTGAACACCAGGATGACTGGGTCGGTCTGATTCCTTGGGCGGAGTTTGCTCACAACAACCTTGTTTGTGGTTCCACTCGTAACAGCCCCTTTTTCTTGAACTATGGCTTTAACCCTACTGTTCTTCCGTCGGTGTCTCCTTCCCAGGGTATACCGTCGGTTGATATTCATATAGCCAACCTGAGAAAGTTGTGGGATCAGACTCGACAAATTCTTGAACGTAGTTCCGCGGTGTTTAAGTCACATGCTGATAGGCGTAGACGTCCTGCTCCTATTTTTTCTCCGGGGGATAGGGTCTGGTTGTGTACCAGACACATTCGCCTGAAAGTTCCTTCCTTGAAGTTTGCTCCTCGTTACATTGGTCCTTACAGGGTACTGAGGAGGATCAACCCGGTTTCTTATTTGCTGGATCTACCTCCTACTCTACGCATCCCTAACTCTTTTCATGTGTCGTTATTGAAACCTCTTGTTTGTAACAGATTTTCCTCCCGCTCTGCTCCTCCATCCTCGGTCCATGTGGATGGTCAGGAGGAATATATCATCAAGTCCATCCTTGATTCTCGTATTTCTAGGGGGAAGCTGCAATACCTCATAGACTGGAAAGGTTATGGTCCTGAAGAGAGGTCTTGGGTTCCTGGTATAGACGTGCATGCTCCTCGTCTTCTTCGGGCCTTCCACGTTCGTTTTCCTTCTAAGCCAGGTCCCATCCGCCCGGTGGGCGTTTCTAGAAGGGGGGGTACTGTCAGGGTACCTGTTGGTGATGTATCCAGGGAGGACATCCTCTCTGCTTAGGGGCTCCCTTCCCTTAGCATTTCGGCATATTCCGGCCGTTTTCGCGCCGGCCGCGCTAGCTCCTCCCCCTTTTATGACGCGACGGCTAGCGTCGACGTCATGACGTCGGCATTTGCATAAAGTGCCGGGAACCGCTATTCCGGACCTTTTGGGGGCGTGGTCTCTATTTAGGTAACAGGGTATTTAAAGGAAACCTTTACTACTGCTCATTGCCCTGTCGTGGTTCTAGCTTGCTAGTCACTCAGCGCGTTCTTTATCTTGTGTTTCCGGTTTTGACCCTTGCTTGTCTTTTGTCCTGTTGTCCTCTCCTCTCCTTTGACTCGGCTTGTATCTCGCTTACCTGTCCTCCGGCTCCCTTGACCTCGGCTTACCTTTTGACTATTCTTGCTTGTCCTTACGTTAGTCCGGCCATTCTAAGGTCCGGTATACGTACCTCCTTCTGTGCGCACTCTGCGTATTGGATCCCTGTCAGTTTCCTGACATCTGTCTGTCTTGGGCATCTTCGTGAGTGAGATGGGGGTTGGCGAGGTCAGCCCCGTGGAGTATGGGGGAAATATGAGTTTATGTGTGCCTCCTGAGGTTAGTAGCATCTGATCGTAAGTTGTAAAATTCTGCATAATACTTTGCAAATTCCTCATTTATATATCGTTGGGGATCATGATTTTTTCAGTTTTTTTAAGTAATGAATGCTAGTTTTTAATACAAACAGGAAAAATATACCACACCAATAAATAGTGATAGTATAAATTAAAGGGGTAGCACACCAAAAATACAAAACATACAACCTGTATGTAATACAAAGCAGTTCTTGAGAACTCTAAAAATTTGAAAAAAATGGTACAATAGTGAAGTATGTACAGAACACCAAGGTCAAACCCGGAGGTAGAGAACTTACAGACAATATAGATGATCTGCGCTTATCTCCCTCTTTATTATAGGGTATCTCAGGGCAGCACTGTAATTCTTGTCGTAGAGGATTTTGATGTTGATCAAAATATATATAATGGAACTCCCCTCATAAAACTGGTTATATCTCCAACAGCATATCTCCATCCGACAGATGGTACCAAACCATAGAAGGTTCAACTCGAGCAATAAAAAAAGTATAACAACAAAAGTATAAATAAAACAATAAAAAATACAAATAATGAAACCTAGGATAAAAATGTCCCAGATACAATTTCAACGCGTTTCGTCTTTGCGACTTCCTCAGGGATATATAGCAAAACTTTGAAAGAGCTTCTTTTTATATATTCCAGACAGTTTTCGAGAAGTTGGCGCCAATAAATCAGTAATTCCGTATTTCGTTTAAGCTTCCATCCGATTGGACGAACGTGATGACGATCACGGTCATGTTTGCGGGCATTAAATGTTTCTGCGTTCCACCGTGGAACGCATATCGTCAGAAGCTCTAAATGAATCCGTTCCGCATTCCAGCATGGAACGCATTACAACTGTGAAAAAAAAAAAAAAAGACACAACAACCGAAAAGAGAAGGAAACGAAGGGAGAACCCTTCTCATACATAAAAACTAAGCTAAAATAAGAAATATGTATATAAAAAGTAAATGCAAATACCATATGAATATAAAAAATAATTAAAATTAATATCCAGATATTGATACATATATAGAAAAGGTATATATATATATATATATATATATATATGTGTATACATGATCAAGTTACTAAGAGATGAGAGGGGAAAAAACAAAAACAATAACAACTATAACAACAAAAGAATCAAAGAAGTCCTATTAAATCAATTTCCTGATTAAGACCTGTTTTTAGGGTCTTAAGAGTATAAATCCAAAAGGCTTCTCTTTTAGCTAAATCATTAATTCTGCTTCCCCCTCTCCAGTTCATAGCAACCTGATTAATACCAATGGCAATAAAAGTGGCCCAATTAAACATACTACAGGTCTTACAATGATTAGGAACACTATGATCCACTTTATTTGTTCTAATAGTGTTAAAATTTTCTCGGAGTCTGATATGTAGTTTTCTAGTGCTGCGTCCCACATACTGGGCACCACATCCACATTGTAGCAGATAAATTACAAATGTTGACGTACAATGTATAAACTTCTTAATATTGTATGTTTCTTTTGTATTGGACCCCATAAAAGACACCGTTTTTCTTTTTTGGTGAGTACAAGTAGAACAAGCCCCACATTTATGAAAACCTGGGGTTCTTTTTAGCTGTAAAAAAATATTTTGTGGACTCTTAAGTTGTTTAGGTAAAAGACTCGGTGCCAATTGCTAGTTTTTATTGACTTGCTTTTCTTTTCTCTACATGTGTGATCCTCCAAACATTATAGTAATGGTGTAAGGTAAGTTGTTTCTCTAGTTGCTGCCACTGTCTCTTAATGGCTTTGAATCTGATGCTGATGTGATTGAAATCACCAATTAGTATGGTTATATCTTAAATTTTGAATAGTTTGCTTAAGACTGTGTGAAGGTAGTTGCGTTGGTTAGTGTTTGGTGCATATGCATTAGCATAGGTAAAACAATTAATTCTCTATTAGGGTGCATCAGGCGGAAGAAACATAGGCCGAGCATGGACGGTGTAAACAGTATAATAAAAGGAAATCGTGAGGCAGATCTGGTTCTAAGGCCTAAAAGAGTCCTGTCACATACGCTGGCAGTTCATTTTGGCCCACTGGTTGCGCCACTCTAATGCAGAGATCGTTCCGCCGGCCACAGTCCTCAAGATCTGCTAGTTCGGAATTTGGGCAATAAGTCCTTTGTCAAAAACCCTCAATACTTGCACTTCGTGCATTGTCTCAACTGAACAGTAAAATGAATAGGGAGAAGTTTGAAAGACAAAACCTGTATGACCTCAGAACAGGTCAAAGTGCTAACGTGCTCAAAAATATATATTTGTGAAATATAGCGGATAAGTAAACATTATATTATAACTCCTATGGAGAGCCAGTTCCCCTTTCATATTTTAAACATTTTAGTGATGTTTATCCTTTAACCCCTTAAGGACCAAACTTCTGGAATAAAAGGGAATCATGACATGTCACACATGTCATGTGTCCTTAAGGGGTTAAAGAAATATTCTTTATACGAATACTCCAAGCACCATAACATCTTCAGATTACTGTAGTGTGTTAGGTGAATGGATACTCTGGTGCAGTCATTTAATTTTTTTAGTCAAATAATATGGCAAAACCAAGGAAAAGCATTTACTGAACTTCATCTTGCCTTGCCATTTCAAAATAGCCATCGTGTTTTATGGAAAATAATGGGTTCTATGGCATAAGAGCTTCTTTGCAAGTAGGGGTCTTTGCAAGGTGTATTATCTAAGATAGAGATGTAATACAAGAGTTATCCATTAGTGTATGCTGTTGTGTTACATAGCTGAAAAGAGACTTGCGTCCATCAAGTTCAGCCTTCCTCACGTGTTTTTGCTGTTGATCCAAAAGAAGGAAAAAAACCCAGTCTGAAGTGCTTCCAATTTTGCAACAAACTAGGGAAAAAATTATTTTTTACCCCAAAGTGGCAGTCAGATATCTCCTTGGATCAAGTAGCTGTTACCCCACTAATTAGAAATGATATCCCTGTATGTTATGTTTTTGGAAGTGTTTATCCAATTACTGTTTAAACATCTGTATGGACTCTGACAAAACTACCTCTTCAGGCAGAGAATTTTATGGCAAGACAGGAGGCTTCATATTTGCTTTTACTTTCTTTACTGTTACTCCCAGCAGCAAAGAAACAGTTAACAGTAAGTAGAAAAAATTTAACCAATCAGAGTGTACAATAGATTATGTCCAGTCATCAGGCTCCTCCCAATTCCTCTTTCTTTGCTGCTTAGCCTCCCAGGTGAGTCTATTCTAATTATAGTCTAGTATTAATAGTCTTACTTTGAGTTATTATATTATTAGTAATTGTTTATTTACTTATTTTCTCATATGTAAACTAACTGTGCCTTTAACAATCCTTACTTCAGACCATTTCCCCTTTAAATGGTCTGTGTATTTAGTAATTTATGCCCCTGTTTAACCCCCAAACGGTCTTTCTTGCGTGCTGAGTTTTCTGCCTCAGCACTACAGAGGCACTTTGTATATCTGTCCGTGCGGCCAGAAGCCGAGATCTGAGCGGCTTCTGGCCGGTTGCCAACCTCGGCAATATCTCGCCCCCCTCTGTGGGAACAATCCCAGCCCCTTACCTGTCTCCATAGCGACGTCTTCTTCCTCCCGCGGCCATTTCTTGGCGGGCTTTTTTCGCGCTCTTTTCCTCCATCGCACCGGAACGTCTGGACGGCTGCTGCTCACATCGGCTCTCCAGCGCCTCTATTGGTACTTTCAGGTAAGTACATTAACACATATATTCTAACTGAAAGTTACCATTGGAACTGTTAACAAGTATTATTAAAGTGTTTCTGCTTTGTTTTATTGCAGATTACTCTAAACCCTTGCAAACAGGAAAATTTGTCTCAGTACTGAGGGTGACCCCCTCACTTTTAATTTAATAATTGCCTCATTAAAGAGGGTGACCCCCTCTATATTATACACCTTTTCTGCCTCATTTAAAGGGTGACCCCCTTTTTATTGTCTCCTGAGGGTGACCCCCTCATTACGTAATATTAATACGGCTATACCGTTTCAGCTGTAATAACTTTGGGTGACCCCCACACTTGATTAACTCTTCGAGTATATATATATACACACGTGTTTTGTGTTTTTTGCATAAGTCCACTGCCACAAAAAAAAAAAAAAAAAATTGTATATCTATTTATACTCGTGGTGACCCCACTTCATTATAAAAATGTCTGATCTAACTGAACCACCAGTCTCTGCGGAGCTCAAAATTTGGCTGTATAACGCCATCGCAGAATCCATTCCCAAAGCTTTGGCAGCGTTTCAGGAACATTCAAAGTCTGCCCCCAGAGCTCCTGTCGTTCACCTCTCAGACTCTGAAGAGTCAAAAGATTCAGACCATGACGAATGCCCCCGCAAACGCCCTTGGAAGGGCAATAGTGCTAGTGCCGGTAAAGGCAAGGCACCAGCAAAAGCACCTAGATTATCCCTTTCTGGTATTCGGGATGATACCCCCAATTATAATTTTGACCCATTAGAGGGTTCAACTTCCAACCTGCAACTTCAGGTACTGGATGAATACTCTGCAGGGTATTCAGACGAGGACCTTCCCTCACATGAACCCCACCAAAATGAGTTCCTAACCGCTGACCCTAACCAGAACATGTCTGAGGATATTTTATTAGATACCTCTGGCCGCCCCTTGTTCGACCCTAGGTATATCAAACACCCACGCTCTGCAGAGTGGAGCCCCCCAGACCACATAGCTAAGTTTTGTAGGATGTGGCTCCGTAAACCTTTGGAAAAAGAGGTCAGAGCTAAATTAAGGGCAGAATGCCCACGACCTGTAATCCCAGACAAGGTGGCGGTTACCCCAGAATTCGATCCCTTACTCGTCACTTTCCTGTACAAGACAGGAAAAGACCCCCGTAAGGGTTTGGAGCAAGGCCTGAAGGCCACGCAAGATAAAATGATGGATATGGCGGGACCGCTTATCCAGATTTTCACTATTGCAGATGAGGCTTTGGCAGGTGGCACTCTAGACGCACACATGGTGCGAGAATGGGCACAGAGGGCATTATGCCTACTAGGCAACGCGAATGTTGCTATGTCAACTGAAAGGCGGAAAGCCGCTTTATATAAGATCGACTCAAAGCTTGCCGAATTAGGCACTAAAGAGCTTGGCCCTGAGGCACACGGTATGCTTTTTGGAGACAAATTTATTAAAGAATTAAATAAACACGTGGCAGTGTTTACTACGCTTACAAAAGCGCAATCTTCATTACGCAAGGTATTTAGGTCCCAACGTTTTTCTGGGAGAGCCAGCCATTACAGAGGCCGGACGGCTGGCAGAGCTGCCTCTACAGGCTATAGGCCTCGACCATCCGAACACTGGAACTCGGGCAATACCCGTTTCCACCACAAACAGTTCTTCCCCTCGCGTGGAGCCATTAGAGGACGTGGATCTGCTTCCCTCCGCGGTCGCACTCCTGCAGGTAAGGGACTCTCATTCTTCTCATGTACCTATAGCAGGCCGATTAATACACTTTTCCCAACAGTGGTACCAACTCACGCAGGATCCGTGGATCCTTCAGACCGTCTCCGGCTTCCACTTAGACTTTACAGAGGATCCAATGCAGGTATCCTTACCTGTCCCTCTCAAAATGTCTCAAATAGACGACATGGCCCTTCAAGCCGAACTCAACGACCTAGTCAACAAAGGTGCCATCGAACGAGCACTCACGCAACGAGGTTTCGTAAGCAATATGTTTTTGGTCAAGAAAAAGTCGGGAGAATTCCGACCAGTCATCAATCTGAGAGCACTGAACAAATTCATCAGATACAGACACTTCAAGATGGAAGGCATCCATCTATTACGGGACCTCCTCTGCGAGGGAGATTGGTTTTCCCGTTTCGACCTCAAAGATGCATACCTTACGATACCAATCACGCCAGAACATCGCACTTTTCTCCAATTCATTTGGGACGAGACACTATGGCAGTTCACCTGCCTCCCCTTCGGGCTGTGCTCCGCGCCTTGGTGTTTCACCAAACTAATGAAACCGGTGATGGCGCTCCTCCATTCACAAGGAATTCGGTCCATCATATACTTGGACGATATCCTCCTTATGGCACAAGACAAGGAGACTCTACTTCTCCATACGGAAATGACTTCGGCCCTTCTTCAGAATTTGGGTTTCATCATCAACCTCCAAAAATCATCTCTGCTCCCATCTCAGACAATACAGTTTCTGGGATTCCAGATAGATTCGATTCAGGCAGTCCTGCAACTACCTGTTGCGAAAATCAAGTCCATAAAAAAGGACATCAGGAGATTACTAACAACGCCTTACCTCCAACTCAGGGATTTAGCCCGCACAATCGGATTACTCTCCGCCTCCATCCAGGCAATATTCCCAGCCCCGCTACACTACCGGGCGATGCAGCGCTTGAGAACACACTACTTACATCGCTCACCGTCTTACGACCAACAGATCTTCCTCACGGACGAAGTCCAACTAGAACTCCACTGGTGGCTTCAACATATGGAAGCCTGGAACGGAAGGGCTATCTTTGGTCGGCAACCCGACTTCATTCTGGAATCGGATGCCAGTCTCCTCGGATGGGGTGCCACCTGTTCGGAACGTTCCACCGGAGGCCTCTGGTCCCCATCAGAACGGGCACTACATATCAATTGCCTCGAACTGATCGCTGGTTCTTTCGCGATCCGCAGTTTTGCCAAGGAGGCATACAACTGCAGCCTCATCCTGCGGATGGACAATGTCTCAGCAGTACAATATGTGAACCGCCTAGGTGGCCCATGATCAAAGATGCTATCAGATCTGACAAAGGAATTGTACCATTTCTGCCTGGACAGGAATATCTCCCTTCGTGCAGAATATCTCTCGGGCCCCGACAATCTCGTCGCAGATTGGTTCTCACGCCACTGGAGGGATTCCAGCGATTGGCAACTGGATCCACAAATCTTTCATCATCTACAGACCCTGAGAGGACCATTCACCCTGGACCTATTTGCATCTCGCCTGAATCGTCAGACGGACTCATTCTTCAGCTGGCTCCCAGACCCAGCGTGCCTGGCAGTAGACGCCTTTCTCCAACCATGGCCAACATCCGGAGCGTATGCCTTTCCCCCATTCTCCATGATTCCTCGCACGATTCAATATCTCAGAACTCAGGGCGTCACCATAATTCTGGTAACCCCGCTGTGGCGAACTCAACCTTGGTTCCCGTATCTCCTGGAGATGTCAGTGGACTACCCCCTACTCCTACCCACCTCTTACAATCTCCTCAGGGAACCCCTCAGGCAATTTCCATCCACTAGCACTACAAGGTCACCTTCGGTTAGTGGCCTGGACCATTTCAGGGGATCCTGGAATGTCTCAGGCCTTTCGACTACTGCTCAAAAACTACTATGGGACTCTTGGGCACCGGGCACAAGACGCTCTTATCTCTCAGCGTGGCAATGCTGGAATAGCTGGTGCTTGGAGAGGGACGCTGATCCCTTTTCAACTTCTCTGATCAACATTATGAACTTCCTGGCGTCACTTTTCAAACAGGGTAAGTCTTATCGGTCAATTAACGTTGTCCGTTCAGCCATTTCGGCAGCCCATAGCCTGGTTGATAACTCCGCGGTTGGTAAACACCCCTCCATATGTAGACTTCTGCGAGGCATGCGCCTTGCGAGACCACCGGCACCCAAATATAATCAATTTTGGGATGTTACTATAGTATTATCATTTTTGGAGGAGTGGCCTCCTAACGGAGAGCTCTCTCTTCGACAATTGTCGGCCAAACTGGCACTACTGCTCTGTTTGGTATCGTTTAGAAGAGTTTCGGACATCAGAGCGTTTGATGTCCACGCGGTGGACTTTACCCCTGAGGTGCACTTCTCCATTACCCGACGCACCAAAACCAATTCATCTACAGTAAGCTACCCTTATTTTCACGACAAACCCATGCTCTGCGTAGCTAGTTGTGTCAAACACTACATCCTCCGCACCAAGGACCTTAGACCACGAACGGGACCCCTACTGGTATCCTACGTTCGACCTCACAAGCCAGTGTCATGTCCCACGATTGCTCGTTGGATCAAATGGCTTCTAGTCCTAGCTGGTATCGACCCATGTTTTGGTGCTCACTCAGTCAGAGGCGCGGCCGCCTCGTCTGCACTTACATCTGGAGGCTCCCTAACGGAGATCCTCACTTCCGCTGATTGGTCTAGAGAATCCACCTTCCGAACTTTTTATTTTAGACAACCCCCTCATGTATCTAATGCCATTATATCATCGCTTTAAAACAGCAAATATGAAGCCTCCTGTCTTGCCATAAAATTCGGGATTATTCTAACCTTAGTGACCGAATAATCTAAATTTTATTAAATACAGGAGGCGAATATTTTCCCACCCGCTAATACACACACCCAACCCAACTAGGTAAGTATTCCACAACACCTCTACTGCCTACACCAATGTTTCATAACCTACGCTTCAGGCCTCTCCTACAACTACCTTTACGGATACTACACTCACTATCTCATAATTTAACACTTGTCAAACTAGGACTGTACAACTTGTTGGAAACATATCAGATAACGTAATTAGGTATTGTTTTTCCTTTACCTAAGAAACCATACTTTCACGACCTCTCTCTCTTTTTTCCTAGTGTGAGAACTCTTCACTACATCTCGAGGAATTACCTATGTTCCCACATCGTTTACATGGTTGACTACAATTGAGACGTTTATTGTTTCACCGTTTACATGGTTGATTCTACGGCGGTCGGCTGCATCACGAAAGAGGAATTGGGAGGAGCCTGATGACTGGACATAATCTATTGTACACTCTGATTGGTTAAATTTTTTCTACTTACTGTTAACTGTTTCTTTGCTGCTGGGAGTAACAGTAAAGAAAGTAAAAGCAAATATTCGCCTCCTGTCTTTAATAAAATTTAGATTATTCGGTCACTAAGGTTAGAATAATCCCGAATTCCATATCCTTATTACTCTTACTGTAAAAAAACCCTTTTCATTGCCTTAGATGAAATCTCCTTTCTTCCAGCCTTAATGCGTGACCTTGTGTCCTATGTATAGCCTTGTTTATGAATAGAAAATTGAGAACTGAATGGAATTGAAAATTCAATGATGTCCAAAAGTCCAGCTTTTGTGTAGTCACAATTACCTCAGAGAATACATATCTTTATAAATGTCAAATTACAGATGCAAATGCTATCCTAGAATATGTCCAATTATGTTTAGTTAAGATGCTCCATGGTACCAAACAAAAAATGGAATAGAGGATGATCATAAATAGAAAATCACAGTCCATCATAACCACATCATGAAAGCTCATTAATTATATACCACACAGCATTTTAAATGATAAAAAAAAATCACGTGTTAAATGTTGATACGTTATAGGAAAAGAAGATTTGATGTATATCATTACTAATAAGGTGACGTTATCTATTTGTTGCTATTTATGTACTAGGTAACGTATTTATACAAATACAAAAACGTATACAATCATTTAATACATTTTAAAACAAATTTGATGCTGTTGCATTGTAAAGCAGCTCTGTTGTCTATATATAGCATGTATAAAGAAATAAATCAAGCAAAAAAGGCCACAGAAAGATGCCATAGGTCACTGTATCGTTAATCCTGCTAGGGAGAAGTTACGATGGCTCAGTTAAGTGTTGAGGTGGGGATGGCTGGTAGGACGATTAAGAGAATGGCCCTTCACCATCTTACGGGGATACTAAACAGTAAAATTTGAAGTTGACTTGCTTCGTCTTGAATTAGATATCTACTATGAGTAAATACTTACTACAAAATGGAAAAAATAAATAATTGGCATAAAGTTCTTTATGTACCATTGTGTGAGGAGTTCTGTATGGTTCCACAAATGCAAAATGGATTTGCGAATCTCATACTGAGAAGTTTGAGAGGCAAGCTTTATAGGTTGGATTTTGATAAAATGCCTAAAATGACAAATTTGGATCCAGAGTAGAGTTGAGCGAACCCGGACTGTAAAGTTCGGGTTCATACTGAACATTACGTTTTTTGGACATATCAGTGTATGTTCGGGTTGGAGTTTGGTGTTCTGCGATTTAATGGCGCGTTTTGAAATGCTGCAGGGCAGCCAATCAGCAAACGTTTGACTCGTGTGCCCTTAGAAGCCATCACAGCCATGCCTACTAATGGCATGGCTGTGATTGGCCAGTGCAGAATGTGACCCAGCCTCTATATATAAGCTGGAGTTGTGTAGCGCTGCACGCACATGAGCTCTTATTAGTGTAGGGAGAGGATTCTGCAGCTGTGAGGGACAGATTAGGAAAGAGTTCTAGTGTTGAATCTGCAAACTACAGCGATTATTCAAACTACAGCGATTATTTTTGGGGGTGCTATAATACTACATTTTTGTACCCTACCCTGAGCCCAGTGCCACAGAGAGTGCAGTGCACTTACAACGGCATGTGTGCCAGACACATTACTGTAATCCTGTTCTGGTAGCTCAGTGGACAACATCTGTGCTTTACAGTGCAGTTTTAAAAATTCAATTTTTTTCCTGCTAAATAGTACATTTGCGGCCTGCGGTGCACTTCATTTCTGAGAGTCAAATAGAACCGTCAAATACTGTGGTTACAGCGCAGTTTTAAAAATTCAAATTCTTTAGGTGCTAAATAGTACATTTGGGGTGTGCACTTCATATCTGGTGTATGTGTGCAACACTGGCTAGTTACCACTTCTCAAGAAAGTCTAAAGACTTTTTAAAAAAGTGAAAAATAAGTGTTATTGTGATCGCTTCATATACAGAAGCATTAATATACATTTCTATATTGTGTAAAGACACCACTACAAAATTAAAAACCAAACACCAAAACAACGTGGAATGAAGGTCATGTGAGTGACGTGTGCAGTTTGGAGGAAGAGGAGTTGGTCGCACAGAGGCACTAGCACAGTATAAGAGGGAGCACGGTGCAAAAGCGGAGTGGCCATCCCCTAGCGCTCGTCGTCATGTATTATCTTTAGAATTCCCACAGTTATCCAAGTAACAGATGGAGTGATAAAAGGAACCATAACAGATTTAATGAGCCATTCGCAGTTTCCCAGTCAGGGGGGCAGTCCGGTGACTGGGACCCAGACACTGTCTGGGCGGAAGTCGGACGACCGGCACCCAGTATGCCTGACGTTAAAGTTAGGAGTCACAGTGTGGAATGCATTAGCAGGGTCTGGTGCAGGGTAACCACACGCCCCCTGGTGTTGAGCACCAGCGTTTGTGCAGCCACATACCAGGAACCTGATGCGGCTTCAGCGAGCAGCTGCAGGCGATAGTGGAGTTTCAGCTGCAGCACGCATGCTTCAGTTGCTTTGCACCAGACTTGTCCTCCAGTTGATCCAAGTTAAAGGATTTAAAGTTACAGGGCCTCGAAAGAGTAGTGTATTGTTGTTTGTCATCACTACCTCCCCGCGTCAGGAGTGGGTAATTTGCATGCCTGCTGCCTTTTTTTTGCATGTAGTAGCCGTTTCTCAGGCTCCCTCTCTGGAATTGAACCCTGATTCCCCGTTACCCGTGGTCATAATGGTAGGCGCGGAAAATAGCATAGAAAGTTGATAGGGCAGACATCAGAATGCGTTGTCACCGTTACGGGGACGTGCGATCGGCACAAGGTTATCACAGACAAGCGCAGCCGCCTTTCCACTGCCAACGTGGACAAGCTCACGTTTATTAAAAGAAACGAGGCATGGATCCCATCAGACTTGTTTGTACCTTGTGCAGAATAGACATTTATACCGGCCTCACCCAGCCATTGTTATACTCAAGTGCACTTATTCTTCTTTTTCTTTTTTTATATGTCCCAATATTTTGGGGGCTACCCCAATAAAAAAAATAAAAACAGTGTTGGCTACCTCCTCCTCCACTGCCACTGTTTCCACCTACACCGCCATGGTGTATACCCAGATATATCAGAGCTGCTGCAGAAAGTGCGAGCAGCGTTCTCACCCTGCGTTCTCACCCTGCTGCTGCATTCTTACCCTGCTGCTGCTCACCTGTCTGCTCTGCAGCGTAACTTCGGCCTTCCCGGTCACCGCCTCATATGCGACGTGCCCACAAGGTGGAACTCCACCTTGCACATGCAGGAGAGAAAAACGCTTCGGGCGATGATGAAAGAGGATGTGACACAGGAGGAAGAGGAGGAGGAAGAGGGGTCATTTCCACGGTTATCAGGCCAGGCATTCACAAATGGCTCAGAGGGTGGGTTCCTGCACCAGCATAGGCCAGGTACACAATTGTCCAGCATCTCCACTCTGTCCCATGGAAGCGTTCAGCTGTCCATCTGCCAAACACTGGAGAAAAAGAGGAAGTACCCCCCTACCCACCCGCGATCCCCGGCCCTGAATGCCAGCATTTAAAAATTCTTGGCCTTTGAAATGCTGTCATTCCGTCTGGTGGAGACGGACAGTTTTAAAAACCTGATGGTGTTATTGGACTGCAAGAAATGCACCACAGGCCGCAAATGTTTGTTGTTTTATATGTCCCAATATTTTGGGGGCTACCTCAATTTAAAAAAAACTAAAACCGCCGCTTCCACCTACACTGCCACGGTCACCGCCTCCTCAACCTCCTACTCCACATCCACCTCCTCCTCCTAGAGCAGGATGCAAAAGCGGAGCGGCCATCCCCTAGACAGTACGCCTGCTACTGCCACGGCACCCAGGGACCAAGCACACCAAAGCCAGCTCCAAGGAATTCCCTGGCGTGGCAGTTCTTCAGACAATGTGCTGATGACAAGACACTAGTGGTTTGCACGCTGTGCAATCAGAGCCTGAAGCGAGGCATACACGTTCTAAACCTGAGCACAACCTGCATGACCAGGCATCTACATGCAAAGCATGAGCTGCAGTGGAGTAAGCACCTCAAAAACCAAGAAAGGTCTCAGGCTCCTCCTGCTTCCTCTTCTGCTGCTGTCTCGGCCTCTTCCTCCACCTCTGGAATGACAGTGGCACCTGCCACCCCGCAAACAGAGGATGTGGCAGCAACGCCACCACATCCGCCACCGTCCCCAAGCATCTCCACACTGTCCCATGGAAGCGTTTAGCTGTCCATCTCCCAACCACTGGAGAGAAAGCGGAAGTACCCCCCCTACCCACCCGCGATCCCTGGCCCTGAATGCCAGCATTTCAAAATTCCTGGCCTTTGAAATGCTGTCATTCCGTCTGGTGGAGACGGACAGTTTTAAAAACCTGATGGTGTTACTGGACTGCAAGAAATGCACCGCAGGCCGCAAATGTTTCTTTCTTTATATGTCCCAATATTTTGGGGGCTACCCCAATTAAAAAAAAAAAACAGTGTTGGCTACCTCCTCCTCCTCCACCGCCGCTTCCACCTACACCGCCACGGTCACCGCCTCCTCAACCTATGGGTCACTTAGTATAAACTATGTACACAATAGCAGAGGCTTGTGAAGGCCTTTTCTCCATGCATCAGGAGTTGAGCTCAGTTTGAACAATGAAAGAGAATACCCTGCACTCCAACCCTCTCTCAAATGGATAATTCTGGTGATCCTCCTGACAGCCATGCTTTAGATTTTGACTTATATTCTTCCAAAGTGATTTCACAATCCACATTTGTTTGCAGGGAACTTGTCCTACTCTTACCCCCATTTTACTTCTTTTTGCATCCCTCTAGCCCTCTAGGACTTTTTTAGAGCCATTTTTGTGCCCAAAAGTTCGGGTCCCCATTGACTTCAATGGGGTTTGGGTTCGGGGTCAAGTTCGATCCTGAACCCGGACATTTTTCCGAAGTTCGGCGGAATCCTCCGAACCCAAACATCCAGGTGTCCGCTCAACTCTAATCTAGAGGAATTTATGAGAGAACAGATACCAGCATTTAAGCTGCAAGCAGCATGCAGTAAAATATAAATACTTTCTTTACTTGATATTTTTGGCCTAGGGTCAAGTGGGTTGCCAAGTGGAATAGTTTCTCGAGAAATTACTTGCTTATTTGCTTATTTTGCTTTAGTCTTATAATGGAAACGTGTACTGAGAAAGGAGAAGTGTATACTATATAAATCTTCCATGATCTAAAATAACTAAGTCTAATAGTTAACTAGGACTTAAAGGAACACTATAGTCACTAGAACAACTACAGCTTATCATAGTTGTTCTGGAGAGAATAGTATGTCCCTGCAGACTTCATAATGTAAATTCTGCCTTTTCATAGAAAAGGCAGTGTTTACATTACTGCCTTGGAACACCTCCAGTGTCCACTCCTCAAACTGCCACTAGAGCTGCTTTGTGCATTCAGCATCTATACGCACTGCATTGAGACTCATTGATTTAATGCATCTCTATAAAAGATGCTGATTTACTAGGGCAGTAGTTGGCACTGCCCCCACCATCAGAACTGATGATCTCTTTACTATGCGAAAGCATTGTGATTGGCAGAGATGATCAATTCTGATTATGTCAGCCAGGGAGGCAGATCAGGGGTGGGGTCAGTGCTGGCAGACCCATGTGCATGGAAAATAAGGTAAGTTTTTTCTTAATATTTAAGGAGAGCAAAAGAGGGGCCGGGACCCTACATGCATTTTTAACACCATATGGTCAGCAATACATGCTTGTGTTCCTGACTCTATAGTGTTGCTTTAAAGAAGAAGTACTGAGAGTAATGCTAATACCCATGTATTGCAACTTAGAACAATGTGTTTTGACATGAGTTGTAACTGAATGTTAAGCTGAAAAATGGTGCAATTTACAGATATACTTGAGACCATCTTGGGTGAATGCTTGAATTTCAAGTAGTAAAAGAAGTGAAAAGAACAGACATATCACTATGCAAAAAGCAAGTAGGATGTTATAAAGAGAGAAGTTTAACCTTTAAAAACATTTCTGCTTTTTATAAATTCCATCCAGTGAAAGTTAAAGTGAGGGGTGACGACTTTATATGATAATTGTAAAACAATTCTGCACAGATTTAAATAATTAAGCTTTGATCTTTAACTGTTTAAAAATAAAGTACTGAGAGAAAGGCAACACCTACATATATGATTATACTGAACTGTTTTGACTTGAAGTACTAAGATTGAATGCCAAGTGGCAATAATTAAATATAGTGATATAATTAATAGCCGATCCTGTGATTTAGTGTCAAATGAGGCTTAATGAGGAAGCAAAATGTACATATGCTCTTGTGACTAAGACTCAAGTGGAGTTTGGAGAAAAAGTATAAGCTTTTCCCTTTTTTTCTGAGAGGTAGGAACCAAAAGAGATAGGAAAGCAGTCCCGTTGTGGCCGTAAACTTCAGAAATACCGGACAAAAAAAATACCAATTCAGAGGAAAGACTTTTTTGGAATGTGGAATTTTTCAGCACTGTGAGCAGCTACTGCCTTTACAAAGGCACTTGTGGCTCTCAAGCCTAGCTCTTTTTTTACTTGTCCTAGGCTACAGGGGCCAAGCAGGCAGCCAGCCAGTAGGTATGACACCTCTATTAATGGGTTCCCTGAACAAATCAATCAAGACACATAGTTCCTGAATGAGCTAAGACACACAGCTTTATTTTTATTCAGGACTAGCCTATATGCACTTTACATTTAACTTGTGACAAGTTCAACAAAATACAAATAACTAATTGGGAAGACTTACAGTAACTAATAATAATGCATAAACATATTTAAAACTGGGTGGGTGAGACAATAACCAACACTAAATAGCTCCCCTACCTGCAGAATTCATAATATGCAAATCTATCTGAACATGCAAATTAACCAGCCTTGCTATTCAGGTAGTGCATATAGTTGTTGTTTGATCCTAATGACCAATAGATGGCACTCTGCAGGCCCCATAGCCAAATTCACCTAGTTGATTGGAAGCAACAGCAAGACATGTGAGCACACAAAACATTTAACACCAAACAAATACATTATACACATCCTGCACCTGTAATAGGCACACGGTTACTAAAACAGATGAGTTAACAGGGGACCTACATAAAGTGCCTATCTTCTGTTCCCAGTGATGGTGACTACTGTCACACAAGCAAATGCAGAAATACCTGTTGAATCATGCTTACAGGCTATATAAGCCCCTTAACATAACTAACTCCTTACCCAGTGATATCATTTGTCGTGTACATAACTACCTGGAGAAAGGAGAAATTATAAGGAAATACAGAAACATGGAAAGTCTTGTGATAGATGGATCAAAGAGTTTTTTTTTTTATAATTCTTTATTTTTATGTCATGTTAACAAGATGTGTGTAAGTATGCTTATGCAAAATATGCTGCACCAAAAGAGAAACAAGGAATAAACATGCATTTGATAAATCAGTAAATGACTGATAGCTATATAGACAGGCTGAATAATCTGACAGGATGGGCACTCAGGCTTATAAGGTCAACTATAAACATGCTTAGAGATGAGATATACCACCAGATAGAACATTGAGTTCAGATCAACTAGGCGATAATGGCACAGAGTTCCCAAGAGTGAGATAGCTGGAGGCAAAACAGTGTAGGTAGTAAGAAGTCCCTATAAAGATGAGTGAGGGATAGCCCCTTCAGCCAATGCCACAGTTTTGTTGTACTTGGGTGCCAGATCCGCTGTCAGTCACAAGGTGCTGTGCGAGTTCTCCGCTGTTTTCTCGCCACAGGTGAGGATCTCCCAGACAGCAGGGGTTTGGATGGTTGCTTATTTGCATCTTCACTCCACATGTCGGTAAGCCTCTCGGTGAGGCAGTCCCATGTGGTTGTGAATGGCCGATGTGTCTGTGGACGTCTTGTTTCTCTGCCCAGAGGAGGGAGGAAGCACCGGAACACCGCAGGAGACCTCCGCGGGTCCAGCCGTAGCGGATGTGTGTTGCTGCTGGTGAAACTCGATTCAGGTCCAGAAGGCTGCACACAGGGCTTCAAAGGACACATGGAATCTGGCTTCACCGCAGGTCAGCAGAAGTAGCGGCTATCTTGGGTACTCCACGAGGGTTTGCTATCAGGGTGAGTGAGAACCGTGATGCTGTCCGCCACCAACTTAGGTAACGGAGAGCTGTTGCCTCCTCCCGCCCGCGCCCGCCCAACAGGGCTTGCGTGTAGATGTTCGGGCTTGTGAGGGTGCCGTGGTGGACCGTGATGACCCCCAACGGTCCAAAAGGGGGGGTTCTGCATCTGCAGAACTTCAGGACTGGAGGACCGGCCATGTCCCCAGCCCCGCATCAACCGTTAGGCCGCAAGTCGGACCTGCCTCGGCTAGCGCCTCCTTTTTTCGACTCTTTTACATATTATTATTTACTTTATATCAAATGGGAAACCCACTAGAATAACATATACATATTTAACAAATCCCAGAGACCAGAAAGCCACTGGTTTGCCTTATTTTTATTACTACTACTGCGCCTCTGATCTTTCTCAAATTATTAATCGGTCTACATCAGCTGCTAAGCCTTGGATTGTCCTAGAACAAGAATATTTAGATGTTTCCATTTCTAAAGTCCTATGATGTGCAGAAAAGTGTCTGAAAAAGAAGGAACATGGGGAGGAAACATCGGGTTTTCAAGGGAAAATTGCAACACTGCAGAAAATAATTTTCCATTAAAAGTATTAATATTTAGGATGGCATATTGATTACCAACAGAGTGATTTTAATGACATTCTCACAGCACCTTTTGGGAACATTTCAATGGTGTCACCAGAATCAGGACTCCAGAGAAGACACACAAAATGGTGACCCAAATGTGGACTCAGGACTGATGTGAAGATTGCATTATTGTGAGTTTCATTTCTTTGGAGCACTGGAGCACTGGAGCACTGGGATTCACACATACACTCTGTGCGATCCTGTATAAGTTGAATTTCTTTTGCTGCTTTGTTTCAAACCTATGCACACTACCACTACCGTTTATTATATTTCTGTACAGCTATTACAAACAGATCCACTGCAATTACTGTTAGTTGCATTGCTGTGTAACTCTATGACAAATGCATGCACACCATATATTTTTGGGATCCCCTGGAGACAAGGACACAGAAGTGAGAAATAGACACAAAGAGTTTAGCCTCCGAGAGGGACACTTGCAAAGTATGTGACAGGCTTATTTTTTTACCTGAGCTCCTGTTGGATTACGACAAGTACCAAAAATATGCTGAGGAGGATTAGCCTTTTCTAGAAAGGCTTTAACCAGCTCAAATCCAATTCCTCTGTTAGACCCCGTAACAAGTACACTGCTAATAATCTTGCTGGCCATTTTCTTGTTGATTCTACTCCGTACTAAGTGTTCTAGATCCCAGCTGCCTGTGGTAAGTTTTGGCAGAAGCTGCAGGACAAGGCGTGTAAAATATTTTTGACGATAATGCCAATTAAAGTGGAAACATCACAGTCAGGGAATGGAAAAGAATTTCAAAACCCATGTTCACAATCTTAAAAATACATTGGATTATAGTTAAAAATTAATAGAAAATTAATGTTTAATTCAATCTTGTCAGTCATGTTTGCATCATATTAACTGTAGCGGCAGGAAAATAAAGTGGAAAAAATCTTCACAGCCAGAAAGAAATCTACAATATATTTCATATAGAATACTTTAATAATAGGTATAATGTCACCCATAATATACTGTGTTGAATGCACAATGACTTCCCCTGTTCCCAATGTCCATCCTGATGTATAGGTAAAAAGAAACAGGTATAGGCACTCTCTACAATGAGCAGGGTCCAAAGTGCACCAGGAACAGAAGATGTATGAGGGAGCAGAGTAAAAGATAAAACTATAATTTTATTATATAAAGTAATAAAAAATAATACAGTATAAAAGAATATATATATATATTCTTTTATACTGTATAATATAGTAAAGTAATAAAAAATAATACAGTATAAAAGAATATATATATATTCTTTTATACTGTATTATTTTTTATTACTTTATATAATAAAATTATAGTTTTATCTTTTACTCTGCTCCCTCATACATCTTCTGTTCCTGGTGCACTTTGGACCCTTCTCATATCCTCAGGTGGGGATTATACCACCTCAAGCTTTCATCACCAGAGCAAGTTTATTGCTCTGGAAATTGTAAGTAAGATACTTACCTTTTTTTGCCATATATTATTTATCAGATATACTGCACTATTGGATTTTATTTGTGTTCTTTGTTTTATGCACAATCGTGGAGACCTAGAAGTTACGCCTCATCACTACTTCTATATCCTAAGACGGGGATTATACCGTCCAGGCGCTATACAGTAGAGCTCTTAGTAGCTCTGGAAAGTGTGAGTTAGTCCTTCTACCAGTTTCCTGAATACCTCACATACAATTTGTTTAACTTGATATACTGCACTATTATTGTCCATATTTTATTTCTTTTTTAAAAGGTTGACACCAATCAGTATACTGTTGGACTATCCTGTCTGTATATATATATATTTATATTCTCTATCGTCACCTTATTCTTTATATATTTCGTTGGCGCGGTATTCCATTCCTGTTTTTTGCACCATCCTGATGTCTGTATGTTATTTTAAAATAAAATATATTTGATTTTCATATACGAAGTATGGTGTGTAGGCTCTTCGCGTATTTAATATTTGTATCATCTATTAGGTAGCCAAGAAATTAAATTGCTGGACAACCAGACAACCTTGTTCAATTGGCTGCATTATTGCTGATATGATTATTTTTTTTTTTTCAAGTTTTACAATATCAATAAATACAATTTTGAAAGAGAAAATACAAATACAAATAAATAAAAAAAAAGTGAATAAAATTTAAAAAAAAGAACACAGAACCAAACATTAAATAGATATTGTATTACATACCATGCTGAAGTATCAACATGATAATAATAATAATAATATTGTACATTTAGAAACATCATACATAGCAAATACACAATTAGCAATAATATTTAATACCTTTGTCATTAATTAATATTCAATAACCCCCTAACATCTGATAAATAGCTATCTTGTCAATAGTTATTTCATATTCAAAATATATACCATGTTTAGGAGAAAACTATATACCTCCTTATATAAATAAAAAACAAACAAAACAAAAAAAAACACGCATATACCTCCAACTATGTACGTCATTCATTTTAACCCTTTCTTATTTGTGCAGATCTTTCTAGAGTAGACACTTTTCAATCTAAATTCTAGGTCCCTCTTATACTCAAGATGTAACAAGCATATCTTTTTTGTTTATAGTTTTTTCTTACCTTTGGCCAAATAGACCACATTTTAGTATGAATATGTATGGTATGGTATTTTTATTACTATTACCTTTGTTGCTCCAAGTCCTATAAAATGTAAACTGCCTTTCTACAAGTCTCAAAATCTCATGCTGCGTGAATGTCACATGGTCTGGCGGACATATTGGTTTTGTTAAATGACTTTATGCAATATTCACATTCTTCTCCTCCCTATGCTACAGATGTGTAACTTAAAAATGAAAATCCAGCTCACTCCCTTATCTACTAAACAGCTACTTTGGTGCTGACCGATTTTGCTAGTTTTATTAAAAACACCTAATCTAGGCAAAAAAAATTGGGGATTTAGTTACATTATATGATCATACAGTGCATAAGCCTGCCACAACAGATGTGTAACTTGCTATGTAAAGTTGTGTTGTGACCTGGATCCGAGTTTGTTTGAGCATAGTGGCAAGATCACCCAGTTTGCTGGTCATATTGGATTGTGTGTGGTGAATAAATTCTCACAAGAGCAAGATATCTAACTTGGCTTAAGAATTATTGTATAATCTGAGGTTTGTTTATTGGTATGAACCACCCTCTCTTTCTAATTGCCTGTGATTAATATTAACTCCTCCCTCCCGTACTGTGTAACCCGAGACGTGTTTCACACTACTAAGTGCTTCTATCAGTCAAGATTAATTACTATTGTCACGGACAGGGCCGGCCTTACGCCATTTGGGGCTCTGTGCGAAATGTCTTCACGCCACCCTCCCCCCACCAAGTTGCCTGTATACAGTCACAGACACAGGCACAAGCAGACAGTCAGACACGCTCAGTTACAGGCAGACAGTGACACACACACAGTTACAGGCAGACAGTCACACATGCTCAGTTACAGGCAGACAGTCACAGAGCCAAACACACAGTTAAAGGCAGGCAGGCACACAGTCACAGGCAGACAGTCACACACAAGGTCACAAGCAGACAGTCACACATACTCCATTACAAGCAGACAGTCATACACAGTCTGTTACAGGCATGCAGACACTCACGCACGATGATAGGCACACACACACTCAGTGAAAGTCACACATCCAGGCACACACAACGACACAGCTACAGCGACACACACAATTGGCGTCACATACACAGGCAGACAGTCACATACACAGGCAGAAAGTTACACACACACACAGGCAGGCAGACAGTCACACACACACACACAGACACAGTCACACACAGGGAGGCAGTCACGTAGACAGTCACACACACACACTCACACACACAGGGAGGCAGTCACACAGACAGACTGTCACACACACACAGGCAGTCAGACAGACAGTCACACACACAGGCAGGAAGTCACACAGACAGTCACACACACAGGCAGACAGTCACACACACACAGACAGGCAGTCACACAGACAGTCACACACACAGGCAGGCAGTCACACACACAGGCAGTCATACAGACAGACAGTCGCACACATAGGCAGGCAGTCACACACACACACACAGGCAGACAGACACATGAACAGGCAAACAGTAACACACAGGCAGGCAGTCACAGTCACACACACACAGACTTACCTCTTTCCAGTATGGCTGGAAGGGGTAGTGGATGCAGTTGGTTGTTGGGGAAGCAGGGACGCCTACTTGCTTCCCTCTTCCTGTGCAGCTTCAAGTAGGTATCTCCAGGGGCTTTGGCTATTTATAAGCCCTGCCCCTGCCGCTCGTTAAGCCCCGCCCCCGCTGCCTCGGTTTTTTTTTGTTTGTTTTTTTAAATAGACCCGGTTGGGGGGGGGGGGATTATTAATTAATCCTCCACCTGGGTACCTGTTTTAGCTGAGAGTTGCCATACAACAAAGAGAAAAATGATCTCAAAATGTGAAATTTGATTGGAAATATTTATTAATTATACGTCTTAAAATTAACCTGGAAATTAAGATTTTCCTTTGGAGAATAGCATAGGATGATTGCTGAGGAATACAATTACAATTAATTATATAGTGCCAATATATTCCACAGTGCTGTACAATAGGTAAACAAAATAGACACAAATTTATAACAAAACATGCTTGACATCCTGGAACAGTAGGTGAAGAGGGCATTACTCAAAGTAGGATATGGGCGAAATGCACAAAGGGAACTAAGTTATCAATATGTACCTGAGAGATGCGGCAGGTGTGTTTGGAAGGAAGTAGATAGAAACTGGCAGTTAGGTAATAAGGTATGAGGAGTTAAGGGTAGAGGTAGTAGGCTTTGCTAAAGTAATGTGTTTTAAAGGACTTTTTTAAAGACTGCAGAGACTTGGAGAGGGCATTCCATAAGGGGGTGAGGGGGAGCAACCTTGGAGAAGTCCTGCAGATGAGGGGAGAGAGGGGGCCAGTGTATTAAATTGGGGAGGGGGGCAGTATATTAATTTGAGGGAGAGAGGGGGCAGTGTATTAATTTGGTGGAGTGAGGGAGACAGTGTATTAAATTGGGGGAGGGAGTAGAGCAGTGTATTAGAGTGGTGGGGGGTAGTGTGTTAAATTGGGGGAGGGCAGTGTATTAATTGGGGAGAGGGCAGTGTATTATAGTGGTGAAATGGGGCAGTGTATTAAATTAGAGTGGAGGGGGGGCAGTGTATTGAATTTCGGGGGCAATGTATTGGATTTGTGGACAGTGTATTAGAATGTGAAGATGGGGTAGTGCATTCGATTGGGTCTGCATGGAGATGCTTTTTGCCTCACATGCACAGTAGCCTGCCAATGCTTTCCTATGGGATTGTATTGGACTGGCTGAGATCATCACGTTTTAAAGATGTGTTTGGAATCAATACAATGTTATAACAGTAAAATTAGCAATCTAAGTACTATAGCAACATACAGTCTTTGCTTGGTTTATGATCCTTAACCCTCTGTAAAACTTTCTGCCACTATAATCCCAGCCCCTCACAGAAGTACATCATAGGAGGAAGCTAAAGCTTCATTTTTTTTGTCCATCCAAGTGCTTGTACTGCTTAAACTCTTTCTGTGTGCAGATGCTGTACACCTGAATTCCTCTTTAAGCCTGCCTATATCCGTGCCTGCCAGCCTTAACCCTTTAAGGACCAAACTTCTGGAATAAAAGGGAATCATGACATGTCACACATGTCATGTGTCTTACAGTTCAAACAATCTTATCTTACTTTTCTGATAACTGATACCTTCCATACTATGGTGGCTACAATTTAGAGATGTGTAAATGTAATCTATACATTGTGAAAACAGAATTGCTAGCACTTGTATATATTTTTCATTAAATCTCAATAAAGATAGGGCCTCTTCCATAATTTGTCTATCAGCTCTTGGCATAGAGGCATATGTCAATTACTTTAAACGCTATGTCAGTAATTGAGTGGCAGGTGGTGAGAAATGATGAACCCTGTTACTCTCAGACAAATCCAGGCCTGGCCATAAAATTGACCTAGGCACATCTTGGCCCCGATCAGCTTTTTCCATCCCGGCCAACCTGCCCCCACAGCCCTTACCTTACTGGCCTCCTTGTGTCCTTCCTGTGGTTTACTGTTGGTCATGATGTGTAGTGTAATAGATGTTTGTTCTGCTTCTGCACTGGAACTGAATAATCAGAGGCCTGTGCAGTAAGCAGGATGGGCATCTAAGGTCATTCCACACAACGCCACCAATAAGTAGCCGTAGAGGGAGAAGATACTGTAGCTTGCTGGTAACAGGCTGGCTGATTACCCTTTGGCCTAGAACAACTGCTGCCTATTGGGAAGATCCCCTACATTTTCTGGCCAGTTAGAGAGATCCCCTTTTTTTCTGCATTGCACTTTGTCCATGAGGCCCAAGAGGTGATGAGGACAATTGCATTGCCACCAATCAAGTTTGCATAGCCTCAATTTATTGCTTCTCCTGCCTCTTTGAACCTACCTGCTCTGTAATTTCCACTCTGTTTGTACTACCTGGCTAAGGAATGCAATCATAATTTCAATGGCCCGTCTTCAATTGGTCAATTTTGTTTCTCTCTTGTCCTTATGGTTTTATCTAAAACACCTTGCTCCACTTTCTGTCTTGCATCTGTCATATACCTCAATCATCTTCTGCACTCCTTCACTTGCATTCAGGGCCAGATTAAGAGCCCAGTGGTTCTGACAATTATGATGGGCCTCATTACAGAATCTTTTCGACCAAAAACACTAAAACAGTCATACCTCCCAAGCGTCCTGCATCTGACGGAGACGGCGCTGGAGGGAAACTCATAGGATGCAGCTATGAGAAAAATACATACACTGTGCTAATCTCTCTCTAATCTATTCATCTTTCAAGTAAATCCATACCCCCTTATAGCAGAGTTTAGTGAAGCAGGATGTTAATTGGTGGGGTAAAAGGGTTTGCCACTGAAGAGAATCACGTAACCAGAACCACCAAAAGGGACAAACATGCCCAAAGAGGGGGCATGTCTGCCCAAAAAATTTCCCAAAGAATTGGAATGACAGCCTGGTGTGAATGCATGTCAGGCTGCCTGACAATCATGCAGGCTGGCCAACTAACGTTATACTATACAAACAGCACCCTGCGCTTGGCATAAATGGGTCTAATGATGCGCTTGCTCCACGCTTTCTAAGAACTGTCTGCTAGCACATGTCCACTTCTCTCTAGCAGGCAGAAGCTCCTGGCATATAGTCTGGGACAGAGAAATGTGTATGTAGTGAGTGTAGAAGAAAGGGGACATGCCACAGTGTTAAAAGAGAGACCAAAGCATTACTTTAATTAATTTTATTATCAGCCAGCCCACACACGTTTTCTTCCCCTACATCCCTCTTAAGTTTCCATACTTTTTTTAAATCAATGGGCCTATTCCATGGGCATTGGCCTGGAGATGAAGCTCCATCAGCCCCTATGTTAATCCAGCCCTGCTGGCATTGAAAATCATTCAGACCCAGGGGCTCCCACAGATAATCCTTTGCAAATACAGACTCATACTTTTTGAAACTATGTATATGATGGTGTGAGATAGTTTAACTTAATATATTGTATGCATGTGGTTATTTGTGCATGCTGTGTATGAAATATAAAGCATGTCAACTAGGTTTTTTTTTTTAAATCTACTTTGTCTTAACCCATTCTCTCACCAAGAAGAACTTGCATGTTACATTTATGCCTCGTTTCCACTGAGCGGATCGGTTCGGTATGGTTCGCTATTTTGGTATAATGGTGTTTCCATTATGAAAGTAGTACCTACAAGCGAACCGTATTGATCCATTCAGGGTCCTGCTTCAGATGTAGGGCCATAGAAAATGTAACGGCTCGGTTATGGCGGAGCTACTATACAATTCATTGATTGGTGGACAGGAAGAGCATTTTTTCTAAACCTTGCATGGCCCTGAAAGGTCTGACTTGCAGTGGAAACGCTCACCAGAATGGGCTGGTCCATTCTAAACCTTCCAAACTGTACCGACCCGAACCGATCCGTTCAGTGGAAACGAGGCAATTGTTACATATTCATGGTTATCTTGGTGGTAGTGTAGACAAAAATTCAGCTATTTAAAATGCTATTTTTATACATCTGCTAAACTCTCACGTGCATCAACTGGACATAATTAATTATTCATTCCTACTAAACATTTGGGCGATTTGGCATCTTTTTAAAAGTTATGCTTTGACATCCAACATTCTGTCAAAGAACCCAGACCCATGTGTCTGCCCAAGGATTTTGATAATAAAATGCCAAGTTTCCTTTGAGAATTTTGGCACCTTGTTAAACACACTGGTCAAGTTTCAATTGGTGGACAGGGTGTATAAAAGGATCTCACAAACTGCATATGTTCTCCCAATATTCACTGCTAACAAAATGGCAATCCTTTGGCTTGTTTCTTTGATTGCACTTGTTGGTGCTACCTATGGTAAGTCATTCATTTTTTTCTTGATTTCATTGTCAAGCTCTAACATGATATTTCATTTAAGAATTGGTGGGGAGATAAGTGATCGACGCAAACTGATCTGTAGTCAGTTAGGCGAAACACATTTAAATACACATCTGAATGCATTTTCTATTTCCTACTCTGAACATGAACTTAGTGGTCTTAAATGTTCCTCTTAAACTGGACATACATTTTTGTTTTCTCAAAATTGAATTTTTAACATAACTAATACACATAAGATCATAAAGAAGAGAGTCGATAACTGATTTACAAGTAGAATGTCTTTGTTTTAAGTTTTTCTACCAAGAGAAGAAAGTTCTCAATAGGTGGGTCGCCAAAGCTCTGTGAGCAGCTAAGGGGATTTACGAATGCGATTTCCAACCTTCAATAGAAAGGGAAATTAAGAAAGAGCACTTATCTTTATATATTGTTTTGGAAAACTGCATTAAAGGACCACTCTAGGCACCCAGACCACTTCAGCGTAATGAAGTGGTCTGGGTGCCAGGTCCTTCTAGGGTTAACCCATTTTTTTATAAACATAGCAGTTTCAGAGAAACTGCTATGTTTATCAATGGGTTAAGCCTTCCCCTAATCCTCTAGTGGCTGTCTCATTGACAGCCACTAGAGGCGCTTGCGTGCTTCTCACTGTGATTTTCACAGTGAGAGCACGCAAGCGTCCATAGGAAAACATTGTAAAACGCATGCGCATTCAGCCCAGGAGGAGGAACGGAGGAGGAGAGCTCTCCGCTCAGCGCTGGAAAAAGGTAAGTTTTTACCCCTTTCCTCTCCCCAGAGCCGGACGGGAGGGGGACCACAAGTATGTTTTCCTGGCACTATAGTGGTCCTTTAAGTATAGAGTGGATTTTAGTAAAAAAAACAAATCACATTTCTTAGGGCAATTCCATGGCCACCATGTATGGTAATTCGACCAATTTGCATCATAGCTAAGCCTGCATGGATCAGAAGATAAACTAATACAGAAGGTGGTTAACGATCCTAAAAGAGGCAAGATTATTAACTTGCAGTTTAAAAATAAGTGATTAGATTTATAAATGACCATGTGGTAGTATAAGCGATATACATACATATATGAATACAATCTCGTCATGCTGCAGGTGTGTCGCTTGGTACATAAAAGGAACAAATAGAAAAAATAATAGTGTATTATGTTGCACAAAAGTGAGTATATATGCCAAAGGGGAACTCACACTTTTTAGAGCAACTAAGAGTTCTCCTGCAGAAGCCACGGACGGCATAATCCCTGTGTAATATTTGTAGCATTGTGTAGATACATCTATAGTCTCCACATCAAATAAGGATACGTAGAGAGAGAAAAGGGATAACCAATTGTACAGCAGAACAGCAAATGTTTAAAATAGGTCAAATATATCCTACTTACATAACCCAGAGCAAGAACCTGCTCTGGTGGTATGGAACATTGGTGGTACAATCCCCACCTGAGATGTGTAGCATAACAGTAAATCAGATGATGAATGAGGTAAAAATAAAAAATTAAATGGACTATACAGATAAAAAAAGTACTTTTACTAAACAAATAATAAAAACAAATAAAAGATAGAAATAACAACAATCTATATACTATAAATAAAAGTAAAGGAAAAGGTACCAGTCACTAGTAAAAATGTCTAAATAAGTGTTCACTTGATTTGTTTTGCCAGATGCTGAATCAAAAGATGTTTTTCCCATCTGGTACAATTCTGCAGTAGTAGTAAACCATCTGAACAGGCTATTAAAACTTTGCTCTTATAGGTTTATATTAATTGAGACCTTTGGAGATGGTTCCTACATGTTTTCACATTGGAGCCTGGGGAAAAACCCAACCTGATTGGGTCGTAGTTGGACAATTTGCTTGCAGTTTAGTGAAGACTTTACATTCCGTATTTTGAGGAGATATCAGCTCATAATTCTGTAGGAACATAAGTCATTTCCTTCTGGATCTAAGCACCCATCTTCCAAACTGCAATTAAATAGTCTTGTCGTGTGTATTACACAATTTCCTTTACTCCATTATTTAAATAATAAGATTTCCAACACAATACCCTGTGATATATAATTGGTCTAATGATCTGGAATATGCAACCTGATTAATACACATAAACATTGATAAATAGAAAAAAACTGTCACTATTTATTGCTTTTTGTAATTTTCATTAACTTTATGTAGTCATTTATGAGCATAACATTTTATATAAAAATAAAACACTACTTACGGCATATAATTAACTAACAATTTAATTTTACCAAGAAGTCAATTTTAATCTTGTATGATTGGCTTTATAAAGCAATAAATTAATATAATTACACAGTAAGATTTAATAGACCACCACACCTTTATATTGAAAATACAATTAATATATCATATTACACCTTTTTTTAATCCATATTCATAACCCTTACACTGTTTATATCAGCAATAATTGGTAGGTATAGTTCTACAACGATGCCAATGTTAATATCTTTGGAATTTAAAATCAGGCTATTGAAAATCTTTCCCACACATCCAATTTAGGACCAGAAATACAGATAATCAGTGCTATCAAAGAGTGGTAAGATACCTCCCACATAGGTTACTTTCCTTTAATTTTCTGCAGTAAAATGAAATAAAACAACAGTCCCATAAATAGCAGAAATAAATAGCAGACGCATATCGACTCCTCCTGGAGTTTTCTTTAGTGCTGGTGTACATCTCTGCAGCACCCCAATAAATACCCCTCCACACGATGTTGATGCGACGCACCCATGTGCAAGGTCATGCCCAACAATATTTAGATATTTAGGTTTTCAAGCCTGACTCTGAATATCATTATTAATACATACATTTATATTGATCGAGATAAAGTGTATAACCAGACGCCATATACAAACATTCCAAACCTACAAATTCATATACACACATATAGGTGTAGATACATATGTATAATTCTAAATATATATCTATATGCAAGGCTTGTGTGGTATGTTTCTAAAAAAACAAGATAGATATACACTCCATATAATTCTATTTATAAATCACTGGCATGGGTAGAACCTGGATATACTATCAGATTGCTTATGCATCAATAGTTTTATCAATTAATTTATTCCATTTTCATATAGAGTGTGGTGTACAATTTCTTTTTGTAATAATGACTTTGAAACATGATGATCAAATCTCAAACAAACAGGATACATTTCATCAATCATTTGCACTTCTCCTATTGATCCTCTATAATGTTTAGTATTTTTAATAAATATATTAATCTAACTCTTGCCCATACATTGCGTAATCCCATTTTGTAACTCTGTGACCTGGGAGTAACTTGTACCATGGAGTGGTACTCCTATCACATAAACAATAAATGTTGAATAACTGACGTGTTCATTCATATCATCCAGGTATTGCAGTAACAACCACCCACAAGAAAACACACTTAACTTATTGGTGGTGGGCGCTTACTTCTACATTATTGACTCAATTTTTGTCATTTAAATACTTGTAATAAAATGGAAAATCAGTCATGCCTTTTTACATCCTGTGTGGAATTAGAATTGTTCTGACAGTGTGGAAACCAAAATTTCTTGAAATATCATAATATAAATCTTACAGAATCCTTCCGGATTCTTGTGTCTTATGAAAGGAAGTTTCTCAAGAGCTTCTTTTAACCACTTTTTAAAAGAAGCACTTTGAAAGTGGAAAGTTAAAAACCCTTTATTTACTTACCTGATCCCAGCGCCGATGTCCCTCAATGTTGGGTCATCACTCTGACCCCTCCTCCATCCGACGACAAGCGGGTGCTAATGCACATGCGCGGCAAATGGCACACACCCATTAGATCTCCCTATAGAAAAGCATTAGATCAATGCTTTCCTACAAGCAAAAATCTGACACTGGATGTCCAGTGTGAGATACTGGACTAAAGGTCTGTTTCAATCCAGGAAGCCCTCTAGTGGCTGTTTGGTAGACAGCCACTGGAGGCAAACTTAGTGCTGCAATGTAAACATTGCAGTTTCTCTGTAACTGTTTTACATTGCAGCACTAAGTGCAATAGGGACACTATATACAGACCATTTCAATGAGCGGAAGTAATCTGGGTGCCTCCTGTGTCCCTTTAACATGTAATACTTACGTGCATGCAGAACTATTGTTGCCATTGTTCTATGTTCCCCACAGCTCGGTACAGGACATACCTCTCATTAAAAGTGGAAGTTATGAAGGTACCACTAGGGGCACATGTTCGTCCCACATTAATGTAAATCTCCAGACTGCCCAGTATATCTGTTTGTGTTTACAATGTCCTGAAAAAATGCTGTGTTTGTCTTATAGGATGTGGCATCCCAGCCATCCAGCCTGTCCTCACTGGTTATGCAAGAATTGTAAATGGTGAAGAGGCCATCCCAGGATCCTGGCCATGGCAAGTGTCTCTGCAGGTAAGACTCGCATAAATAAATACATTAAAAAAAAAGTCTGTTTACATGAATCATGATGTACCTCAGCATGTGCCTTGAGCTTCTGGTGGTGATGTTATTCCCTATTTTATGGAATACAGAGTCCATATTTTCCAGCCACATCCCTCCTTTCTATCATAATATCCCTCTTTTCTAGGAGCTCAATGTTGTTGGTGTGTCTGAGTGCAGGGCCGCTATCAGAAATTTTTGGGCCCCTAACACAGCTCTGGGTCTGAGCCCCGGGAATACACACATAGACACAAACACATGCACTGATACAAAAGGAGACAGATACATACACACTGACAGACACACATACATACTAACAGACACAATGAAACAGACATACACACATATAGGCATACATACTGACACATACACACACAAACACACACATACTAACACACAGACATAAATAGTGACACAAAGACATATACTAACATACATACATGATACATGATGATCTGTTTTCCGGCTGCCGGTGGGGACGGCGTTGGTCTGAGTGCATGTCCCGAACAGGAGCATCACTTCAGGAGACGTGCAGAACAGACAATTCCGGTTACAGTTGCTACCAAAGGTCCTGCGTGAAAGAATGGTCTGCTTCTGTATTCTGCTGTGAAAATCTGTCTTACGCATTTCGTAGGGAATGCGCCCTACTTCATCAGAGACGTGATACTGACATACATACTGACATGCAGACATAAATACTGACATACATGCATACATGCACAGTGACATACATACACACTGACACACACACAAACACACACATACTAAGACACACACATACTAAGACACACAGACATACATAGTGAAACACAGACACATACATACAGACACACACACATTCATACAGACATGCATGCAGGCATACTGATATACAGACATACATACTGACATACAGACATACATACAGACATATATACTGACATACATACTGACATGCAAACATATATAATGACATACATACATACATGCACACTGACATACACACAAACATCTCATTTTCCAGCCACCCTCCTGTTTCCTACCTTTTCCTTGCAGGCGGGTGGCTTGGGCTGATGGGAATCGGCATGGATCTCCCTCTTGAAGGCCTCCACGCTGTCTCTCCTGGCCATCACTTCCTCCCAGCACTACTTGCGGCTGCAATTTTTTTAAAGGGGCCCGGTGGCACTAATACATGCCCCCAGCGCTGACCGGGTCCCTGAAGATATAGGGCCCATCAGGTAGTCCTAAATGCTTGGGCCACCCGATGGGCCCCATAAGCATGCGGGCCCCGGTGCAGGTTCACTGGTGGCAGTTCCACTGCTACACGTGTGGCCCAAGGCGGCCGCCCCCCCGATGGTGGCCCTGTCTGAGTGTTTAACAGAGCTCCACAGCAATATAACTCAAATGTAATGTATCTTTAAACTACAAAAAGTACAATACTTGTCTTTACAAACCAGTCTGTGTTAATAAGACACATTGTTCTTGTTCTAATTTACATTTTAGTTTCATGCATTTTTATTAGTGAGTCACCTAAAGTTTCACAGAACAGCCTGCCCTTGGCCTCACCCCTACTTACGCCACTAAAATTAAGTGTCTCTCTTTATCCGTCTAAAATATTGGGGGGCGGGGTACGTGTTTTATTACTTTTATTTACGTTTTCCAACTTTGCATTCTTTCTTCTAGGACCGCACTGGATTCCATTTCTGCGGTGGATCCCTTATAAGCGAGAATTGGGTGGTCACTGCAGCTCACTGTGGTGTTAAGTATGTGTCACTTAATCATATTCCAACCAAAAAACAGTTTTTTTTACATTTTGGTCAAAATAGCCAAGTTGGGAATGTAGGTGAATTGGGGAAGATTTGTTTTTGACTGAATGTCTAATTTTTTTGTCTTGGGGGAAAAAAAATTTAAAAACAAAAATACAATATTTATTTTGCAGGACTACAGATCGTGTTGTCTTGGGTGAATTTGACCAGCGTTCATCTGCTGAAAGTGTACAAGTTAAGACAATTGCCAAGGTAAATTATGTTTTTGTCTTTAATGGAAGAAATTTATATTTTTTCTATTTCTTAAGAAATTAAATGAATAAATTAAAAATGCAACTCAACTTAAAATAAAGGTATTAAAGTAAGCTTGGTACATGCAGAAGAACATACCAAAGAACAGATAGGCAATTTAGATGAGCAAGCTGGTTCAAGGTAATGTCAAATTTGTCAGCATGGTCCATATTTCTCTTTTAAATAATGTACTATTATATTTTATTGCATTTTTGTCAAAGTTTGAAACAACGAAAACTGCCAATACAGACTTTTAAAGTCTTTACAAAAGAAAAAGAAAATCCCTTGTCGACACACAAATGGCAAAATAATATTCTTCTGAAATGTTATTCTCATAAAATAACCATTAAAATAATTTGCTATGAATACTTAACATATCATATATATATATATATATATATATATATATTCTAATAAAATAATAACAACAATATAATTTTGCCCACCGTCATGGCATAAAATTAATTAGCAGTGCCAAATAGGATCATCTCTTTGTATACAGGATGTTATGGTCCAGGGAAAGGCAACCTAAGGCACTCCAGATGTTGTGGGCTACATCTCCCCAGATGCCTTACCTGCATTATGGCTTTTAACAGCCTTTTGGGAGATGTAGTTCACATGTGGAGTGCCAAAGGTTGCCTACCCGTGATATAGTCATTGCTTTAACGGCTAAAGCTTCTTATGTGGAACATGACATGTTCTTTAGAAGCAGTAACAATGAAAATGGTGCAGTTAAAATGCTATCACGGAAATTCCAACACAATCAAAAGATATCCTGAGACAAAGTAAGGACTTATGATCTGGAATACACAACCTGTCTAATACATATAAATGTTGAATGAATAAAAAAAAAACAGCCGTTATTTAATACATTTAATAATTTTCTAAAGTTGTTGACCTTATGTAGATATTTATGTGTATGTCACACTCCCCTGTTGAGTCTAATGGGAGTGCTTGGGGTATAATTTCTTATGTATTGTTTAAATTAGCGATGGATATAATTTAGATCTCTAGTGGCATGTGTATGTATACAATGGCCCATTTCTTCTGAAGTCGAAATCTGTAGAAGCACTGATATCTAATAGTCATATTTTGCATTTTCTAGGTCTTTAGGCACCCACAGTATAGTTCATATACTATAAAAAATGATGTCACTTTGATCAAACTGGCCTCTCCAGCTGTGCTCCAAGAACACGTGTCGCCTGTGTGCTTGGCCAACTCTGCTGATGTGTACAGCAGCGGTCTTAAATGTGTCACTAGTGGATGGGGTTTAACAGATTCTAGTGGTAAGTCTACACAGTTTGAACCAAGTTTCAAACTACCGCTCCATTCCATAAAATTCCATATAAAAAATTGTTTTAATTTATTTAGGTATGCTATATGTAATATATAATTATGTCATTATGTCAATTTGTTTTTGTTTTCAATTATCTTAATGTATATATGAACTTTACAACTGGCTGCCTAGATATCCTTAGAATACAAGATGTTCCTGAGAGATTAACTAGTGTGGTCGCTAGCATGACCCGATTCTAGTACATTATTTAGAATAAAATTGAGTCATTTCGATGACTAAAATGTCTATACACATTTAGCGTGATTTAAAAATATTATCATGATCTTTAGAACAGGGGTTTTATATACTCTTTACACACATAAGGGTGAGTAAAGTAGCTTTCTGGCCCTAAAATGGACTTACATACAACAAACATCTGCATAGGAAAGAATGGCATTAAGATACCATCATAGGCATGCATTTGTCAACTTTTGTTTAATTTTACAGCAAGTCAAACACCAGCCAGATTGCAGCAGGTGGTTCTGCCCCTTTTATCCAACACTGAATGCAAGAAATACTGGGGAAACAAAATTGCTGATGTTATGATCTGTGCTGGAGCAGATGGTGCCTCTTCCTGCATGGTAAGATGGGAAGATCCAATGAAGTAGAAGAACTTGTGTTTAAATTTGAGTTATTTTTTCCCATAAAATACCTTAAAGACATGCAACGCCATAGGTTCTTAAGTTGTCTGCTTCATTCACATCCAAGAACATGTGCCTCGGCCTTTAAAAAATGCTCTACTAATCGTTTTATATAATTGTATGGACTGCTAGGAGGAGTTTAATGTAGACAGATATGTGCTATAGAATATTAGAAGTTAAGAAATGTTATTAAAGATAGAGAATAGCCAATGATTATAATCATATTGTCTATAGCAGATGATACTTCTAACAAGTCCAATGTGTTGATTTTAGGGTGACTCTGGTGGACCTCTTGTATGTGAGCAAGATGGAGCTTGGTCTTTGGTGGGTATTGTGTCTTGGGGAAGCTCTACATGTTCCCCATCAAGTCCTGGTGTCTATGCACGGGTCTCTGTACTCAGGAGCTTCATTGACCAGACCGTTGCTGCTAACTAGATTGTTATTAACATTGTCTGAAATGACCATAAGATTTTAAATAAAGACATTACTAGCACCAAACAAGTTTAACTTATTTTTTTTTCTTTTAAGAGAAATCCTAATTCTGTATGGTTTTAGCAAAGGAATACAGGAGACGCAATAATACTTTACCACTGTCTAAAGGGATTTAAAAGGAACACTCCACATCCTAAATCACTTCAGCATTTAACATCTCTACTTAGTTCTTGTAAGGTCTTCTATACATCAGTTCAAAATGCTTCAGCTAAACATAACTTTTTCCAAGCCTGGGAAATCCCAAACTCATTGTTAAAATTGTAGGGTAAATACTGTATTAAACTTGAGTATTACAATGTATGCCAAAGTATCCTCTAGCATATGTCTTAGTTGTCTTACACATTCAACTTATGATCAATTTGGACCCCAGGCCAAAACTAGAAGGTTTATCAACATATTCCACCATGCTCAGCAAGCACATACTGTACATCTTGCCGCCTTCCGTCGACATAGGAATCGAAGAAAATCTGGGGGAACAGGCTTTCATAATAATTCCAGCCTCACTTAGTGAGAATACCTGAAATCAGGTGTTCCAAAGTCCTCATGGCCCACCAACAGTCTAGGATTTATGTATTTCCTTTCTTTATTCCAATGGAGATATTGACAAAACCTGGACTGTTGGTGGGTCTGGTTTGGGAGGCACCACCCTAAATCATGCAGTTTTCTACAATTGATATATTATTACTAACAAGTCTATTAGCAGAACTTCTGTATTTGTTTTGTACTCTCCCACGTCCAGTACCAAAAGACTCCTAAAAGTTAAACTGAGTTACTTTAACTAGAATTATATATTCCAGATTTAGACATTAATTTATGACACAAAAGAAAAGAAGTATTAAGGTTTTTGTACACAATAATGCTATTCAAAGCTTATTTAGCAATGGATATTTTTAAGTTCCTTCAGATACATCATCTCCTATGAGAGGAAGCCATTTTGTTCAGAGTTGTAAAGCTATACACTCCCTCACCCTTCTCTGCTGTAAACATCCTTGTGCTAAGGGAAATTTCTATCTGATACCTATATTTTGTCTCCTCTTTCAGAGAACATTAATTGTAATATATAGCAGCCTGGGTTCAATAATGATATAACTCATTTTTAATTCTCAAAAAAACCCGACACATTGTCTAATGGTATATAATACCAACAAGATTAGCACAAATTATTACATTTTAGATGGAAATGGCGCAAAGACCCATATTTAGTATTCATGTCCATTACTTATTTCTCTGTGGAAACGAGGATATACAACTTACTCAGAAAATATTACTACTTATGTTGATGCCTATTACAGTAATGATTTATAATATAAATTTAATTATGAATTTCTATGCCACCAATTCTTAGTTTCAAAATGGTTATTTCCAGACTTTTGAAATCTCAGTGTCCTCTGACATTCCTATTACAAGTAAATAGGAAATGGGAGGAGATGACATGTGGCCTAAATGGAAATGATAAAATTCATGTTTTTGGAAAAATATGGTATGTATGGGGAACATTTCATTCACTTCGTTCAGACAAGACAACTTTTTATTTACCCATAATTATTTTCTTTTTAATGGCTCTTTCTAACTCCAGAAATGTGGAACTACCATGGGGAGTACATTTGTACCACTGAATGCCAAGCTATATTTAGGTTGATATGAACATTCAGATATCTTTGGAAATAAAAATCCTTTCATATCACTGTCTGCTACGTCTGTTTTATTGATGACCTAGTTTTCATTTGGTCTGGAAATATAACTACTTTTAAAAACCTTTTAATATTTTTAAATAATAATGACTTATTATTAAGAAGAATTTCTATGACTTAGCCATCATTGTTTGACAATGCATGAGTTTGATCAATTGATTTGACCAAAATAACGAATGCTAGGGGTTATCTCAGCAAAATTGTGTATTGTGCATATACTTATGCAAAAAAATAATAATTTCTAAATAAAAAAAATTATAAAAAGTGTATATAATTGGTGCCGTGGTTAGCTAAGCACCAGACAAGATGCATTCCTGAGGATCTCCGTCTCTGACAGAGCACAGTTGCTAATAAATCACTTTTTCCAGGTCCAAAAGACATCGGATATTATGTCTCCCACCAGAGACAAGAACGGGCCACTAGCATAAAAAATTTTGCCCTCTAGAGACCCCCAAGAATGCCATCCATCCACGTCCTCCAAGATGGTGCTCGCGGTGCCGAGTGACAAAGGAAGCTCGGATGGAGCACAAGATGACAGAGAGAGACTTACCTCACCTGAAATGAGTGAAGTTCAGCAGTATTCCGACTCAGAGGATGACGCCTCGCCATCCATGAAAGGTGACATAAAGCACCTCGTGATAGACCTATGGAAGGTCTAGAAATCAGACCTAAAGGAGACTCAAACTGAGATGGGGGTCCTCCGCCAGCAAATCAAGGAGGTGGAGGCTAGAGAAAAGTCTTGAGAGGGTCAAACCTAAACACCAAGAGTCAGGTGGACAACTTATCCCATCAAGTCCAGAAACTTACTAAGACAGTGTCAGCATTGGAATCCAGGGACAGAAAAAAGAACATCCGCATTAGAGGTATTCTCGAGACGATCGGGTGTGACAACTTTCTGCTCTTCATACAGAGGCTACTAACTTCCATGGGTCTTAAAGGTAAAGCCGATCAAGCGATACCACTCTCAGCATTCAGAGTCCGCAAAGCTGTTACTGCCCCACCGGAGGCACCCAGAGACACAAAAATAGTCACCTGAGCATTATACAGCAGGGCAGCGATCATGAATCATTTCAGAACTTGGCAACATCTGGTTTGAAGGCATTGCGGTGGCAATCTACACTGACATACCGTTTGCTTTCCTGCTTGAAAAGAGGCAATTTGCCTCCACCACTAGGCAACTGAGGGTATCAGTGATCAAGTATCGATGGGGAGAGGATGGCTCATTGATTGTTCCACGGGGGGACACCATACTGTATTTTTCCTCATCTGGAGACCCAGTGTCCTTCCTCCAAAGTCTGAATTTGCCAGTTCCCCAACCTCAAAGAGCTCAGAAAGATGGAAGCTAGATTAGCCACTGCTATATCTACCTATTGCAGTATAGAAGAGTGGGAGAGGTGTGATTGATATAATCTTTTGTTGTGCTATGCATTACTTTTCTGGGTTTTTTTTCCACGTTTTTTAATGTCATCAAGTAAGCTAGACAAAATATTACTAGAAACACCACATACTTGAACCAGTTTATAAGTTATAAATTACAGACATTACCTATGTATACTCCAGCCCAATTTTACAAGCGCAGAAATTAGTCATATGCTTATGACCCATGATGGAGAAATTTTCTATATCACTGTATGATATACTCAGACACTGAACCAGATGTATCTTGAGTGCGGAAACCCTACTAAAACATAGATTTAAAAAAAAAGGTATACCAAATAACATCTAGAATAAACATGGATGGATACGATAACATGTGGAACCTGATATTGTACTGTTGTCAGCCATAAAAAAATAAAGCTCTTTCCTCTGGTGCACTTTTGAGTTCTGGGCATCTTCATGATGTCTTCTGTATAAGTGCCTGTGCATTTTTATCAGCAGGACCGTATGTATTCATATTGTTAGGAGAGCGCCTTTAACTTTATTGTTGCAGATCAATTCTATAGTTAATTTTGCTGGGATTCTTAACTTTTCTCCTCGGATCCTAAAAATCGAGATTCACCCTAGTAAACAAACCAAATGACCTGATGGTAACTATTAGCGTGATATATTCTTTTCAACGAAAAATTAGTCGTTTCTGTGAATTTCTGCAAACTGAACTCTGTTTGCTAGATGACAAAACAACCATTCATGAAAATATAATCCAAGAATATTAAAGAAATGGTAGCAGTGACATTAGTGTAATTAATTACATAGCTATTTAATTGATTATATTCTGTAATGCTCATATCCACTGATTTTAATAAACTGGAATGACTTAAAATACAGTTCCAGGAAACAGATAAACTATATCAAGTATGGTTGTTCCTATAGTTGTACGTCATAAATTAGACTTCTCTTTATGTTCCAGGTAATCAAGAGCCTCTCCACATTAAAATTGTTTTGAAACTGATAAAATGAAAAATCGAAATATAAAACAGAACAAAATAAATAAAATATTATCAATATAAAGTCAACAGTTGGGAACTTTTTCATGGAGTGAATTCACTGTTGGTCAGTCAGTCAGATCACCTGTTTTGTTTTTTGTTTGGATATTACGATAAATATTTCCATTTGCTTATCAACTGTAAACAAACATAAACAATATGGCGATTGGATCTATATTTATTCAAGTTATAGCTGTTTAGAGTAAAGTCATTCATAAAGAATATCTTGCTTTCAGAACTATTGATCCAAGGTTTGTAGTATATAATTATGGAATTCCTCAGGCCCTCTTTTAATTAGAAAAAGCCAACATTATGGTTTTCCTCTATGAATATATGGGTCATGGGATCACCTGTTTAAGATCAAATATGTGCCACACATTCACACAAATATGTGACATATGTTGATGCCCAGTTTCCTTGGTACAAATAGTGCCAAAATTACCTTGTGTGTACTTGTGTCTGTCAGTGTGTCTGTCAATGACTATGTGTGTGTCAGTGTGTGTGTATCTGTCTGTGAGTGTGTAGAATATTGCATATTCTGCGTTTCTATTGATTATTTATGGATGAAGTAACAGATGGTATCAATAAGTCACAAGGCTTTCTTTGTCTGAGAAGTCTGGAATGTGGATTGGGGATCTTGTCCTTATGTGGCTATGGTCATACTCTGACGTCATTATGGTCATATCTATATAGGATATTGAACAAAGGACCATGAGGTCTTGCTATTGCTTGCTGACTGCTGCACAAGGTTGTTGTTCTTGTCCAGCTGTCTAACTATTTAGAGACTAACTCTCCCTTCAGGAGTCCATCAATTACCATCTGCTGTTGA